ATTGCCCATGTTGGTCTTAAACTTTTGGGTTCAAGCGATTCTCCAACCTCAGCCTCCTGAGCAGCTTGGGACTACAGTGTGTTCCACCATGCCTGGCTCATCTATTTTCTAGTTCATTAATTCTTTCTTCAGCTATGTTGAATCTGCTGTTAAACCCATTTAATAAGTTCTTGCTTTTAGTTATTGTATTTTCAAGTTATTATTATTATTATTATTATTATTATTATTTCTGAGATGGAGTCTCACTCTGTCACCCAGGCTGGAGTGCAGTGGCACGATCTTGGCTCACTGCAACTTCCACCTCCCAGGTTCAGGCGATTCTCCTGCTCCAGCCTCCTGAGTAGCTGGGATTATAGGCGCATACCACCAGGCCCAGCTAATTTTTGTATTTTTAGTAGAGATGGGGTTTCACCATGTTGGTCAGGCTGGTCTCGAACTCCTGACCTCATGATCTGCCCACCTCAGCCTCCCAAAGTGCTGGGATTACAGGTATGAGCCCCTGCACCCAGGAGATGCCAATTCTTGCTGAAATTCTTTTTCTCACTCTGTGTATTTTTCAATATATAAACCTAAGTTATTTTAAAATCCATGTTTGATAACTTCAATAATTGAATCTCCTGTAGGTCTGCTTATTTGCCCTTTTGATTTATCTTGGTTTTTGGTTAATTGTCTTATCCCCTGGCTTGTCTGGAAATTTTTTATTGAATGCGAGATGTTGTATATAAAAATTTGAAGACATAATCAGAGATTCTGAATGGCATTATGTTCCTTCAAAGAGAGTTCACTTTTGCTTGTAGCAACATTAAAGATAGGGTCAAATAACTTTAATTCTATTAGGGAATGAATATTTTGAATTTGTGTTTCTTTGTGAGGGCTGGACTGTTTCTAATTAGATCTTTGGCCTACAATGTAGGTCTTCAAAGTTCTTATGTGAAGCCTTGGGTTGGTCATCAGGGCCATTGTTCTTTGGCAGGTCCTAAATTCTAATTTTTGTCTCCTAGCCTCATAACAATGGCAAAAGCTCCGCTCAACTTCTCATGTTACCGCTATTCTCTGTATTCTTCTTTTAGCCTGCTATTTACAAATTAGCAAACGCTGGAAGAGGAAAAGTGACACACTGAGTGTCAGGTTTATCTCTTTGCATTTCTCATTCTTTCTTAAGATCTTAGCCCCTAGAATCCTTATTGCCTTAGTATTTATCTAATGCCTTCAAATGGATTGTTTTTTATCCAGTTTTCTTAATTATTCTTAGTAGTAGGTTTCTGATAAATCTAGATGTTCATAGCTATGAACATCTCATATGAATTTTAGAATTAGTTTGCCAGATTTAATGGAAAAAACATGAGATTTTTATTAAAATATTATTGAATTGATTTATCCGTTTGGGGAGAATTAATGACTTTATAACGTTAAGACTTTCTATTAATGAACTTAGTATATCTTCTTTTAGGCTATCTTTCAATCTTTAACGTCTCCCCCGCTCCTTTTTTTTTTCAAGAGACAGGGGCTCACTGTATTACCCAGGCTGGTCTCAAACTCCTGGGCTCAAGTCATCCTCTTGCCTCAAGCTCCCAAATTGCTGGTATTACAGGTGTGAGCTACTGCACCCGGCCAATGTCTTTCCACCTTTAATTTTCTGCATAATGGGCTTGGACACCTGTTAGATTTATTCACAGTTACTTCACATTTATATTACTATTATAATTTACACATTTTGACTACATTTTCTAGTAAGCATTCCTGAGATATACTGATTTTGTGTTCCTACTTGTGATTTAACTATAGATTATTTTGTATTTTCTCTGGACAACTAAATCATCTGCAAATAGAGTGTAATTAAAAAATTTTAAACCCCTACATATTTTAAAAATCTAATCTTACTGCTTTGGGATATTATCGTGCTGTGTCAGATTACCATCTAAGATACCTAGAATAGGTATCTCACTGAAAAGAAATGATGAGTGTTGCATCCTATCTTAGTCCTGATCTTAAAGGGAATACTCTCATATTTCATTAAGTATTATGTTTGCTGGGAGTAGCAGACTTGATAGATTTCATCAAGTTGAGGAATTTAACTTTATATTTTTGCTAAGAAGTTCTGTTGTGAATACATGTTGATTTTTATTGAAAATTATTTCTGCCCCTACTCAAAATATGCTTTTATTTTTTTCTCTTTTGCTTTGGTACTATATTGAATGACAACAAATGATTTGAAATATTTAACCAATCTTTCATTTATTGTATAATTACCAATTGGCCATGAGATGTCATTTTTCCAATATGCTGCCAAGGCAATTTTGTTAATATTCTGTTTAGACTTTTTTCATCTATATTTGTAATTGAGTTTGACCTATAATCTTTCTTTCTTGTGCTATACTTATCTACTATAGAAATAAGGATAATACTCCATAAAATGAGGTGAGGAGTGTTTTCTTTTTTCTATTATATAGAAGAATTTGTATAATATGAGAATTATGTGTACCTTGAATATTTGGTTGAATTTGCCTGTTGTATCAGAGTTCAATCAAGGAAACAAATCATTGTGTACTATGTAATAAAAGTAATTTAGAAATAATTAAATTTAGAAATTAAACCTTACATAATTGCAAGAGGAGCTGGGAAAATAAGGTACAGAAAGGGGATTTGGATGATTAGAGCAAAGTCACTGATTAGCACTCTGATGCAATGGGATGCATGGACAGGTTGGAGTTGGCAGGGAAACCCATGAAGTCAAGCACTCCCCGCTTCCCAAGTGGGAGGGAGTGTCCAGTGGAGCAGGCAGGGAAGACTATGGAAGGATGCTGTGTCTGTGTCTGGTGGTGGGCCCAGAATCACCAGTGTGCATCAGAGCCAACAGTCAGGAAAAAGAGATTTAGAAAACACTAAGGAAGGGACAGTGGGGACAATCTGCAGGCTGGCAGCAGTCATCACCGAGAAAAGTGAGGATGAGCTGGCACTTGTGCATCTGTCTTTTGCTGCATCTAACCACAGTAACCAACTGTATCCCAATGATATGCAGAGATGAAAGTCTGGGAAACAGTTACAGCTTACCTGGTTCACAGAGTACAAAGCCATCAGGCGTGTAAAGCCGGTGTTTTCCTTGTTGCTAGCATATGGCCTCTAGCTACAGAAACCCTGTCAAGTTCCAAATAGGAAAGTTTGGAATTCCTACTTCAGAATGAACCAATGCGGAAAAAGGGTTTCTCATTTAAAGACTTAAAGAATGAAGAGGAAATAAAAAGTAAAAGCAAACCAAAAATTTTGCCTGTCACAGCTACTTAAATTGACTAGATATTTTCTGTTTCTTTCAGCCTTTTGCTGGTTTTGGTTGCATGTGTATGTGTGTTTTTTAAGGATTTATAATTTAGTGCTGCTATCACATTTTCAACAATCACAATAATAATTTATTCTCATGAAAAGAACATCAGTTGGAAATCAAGGCTAATAGTTGGACTGGAATCATATGGTTTCAAAAGAATACAGTGTATTAAGCCTTTATTAGATGCTAGAAAAGAGGCCAGAATGCTCATTTTATACATAGTAGGTGCCATTTAGTCAAACAGAAGCTCAACCAGGCATTGCATGCAATGAGACCATGAGAGTTAGGGAGGAAAAGTATTCAGTCTGGAAAAAACACAAATCAAGTTTTTACACGAAAATGCTGTTCTTAAAACTTGAATTTTTAAAGAAAAAAGGACATGACTGGTAACGATGTGAATCTGCAAGAAGAAGATATCTCTGCAGGGTGGCTTGGTGATTAAAAAACACAAAGTGCATTTTTTCCTTAATCCGACGGGGAGCTGGTGGATAGCCTAGTCAAGGACTTAGCAGGGTCCCAGTTTCCAAGGTGCCAGAGTCATTAAAAAGGAAACAAAGATTTTTCTGGTACAAAGATAATGGTATGCTATGGGTAGCTGTGGTCTCGTGTCATTTCTTTTGTCATCATTGAAACCCTAAAGAAAGAGGTGCTAAAATACAAAAGTGTAATCTAAACCCAAAAGTGAGCTTTTGGAGGAAGAAAAAATACTCACACTTAGGGAAAGAAAACCTTGGGGGAAATTATGGTTATTATTTTTCTAGGCCAGTGACTCAGCAGAAATTGACAAATCTTCTGATCCTCCAGGATATTAATTGTCAATGAAAGTAAAACCGAATATAGAAAAATCTAAATTACCTGGGCGAGGTATCACACTGAATAATTCACTAATATCCACAAACCTCAAGTCATCCTCCCCATCACCAAATCTTTACCAAAATTCTTATGAAGTATCCATTTGAAAACAGGTACTTCAATTTCTTTTTATTCTGATGTCTGGTATCACCAAAGTCCAAAGAGTTGAGAAATGAAAGATAAACAAAGACTAGTTAATGCATAAACTGAATGATTCAAAGCCCCCAAAATTCAAAGTTACCATATCAGGTTGTGTTATCTGTAGTAACAATACCTTGGCTGCAAGAAAAATATTTAATTAGAACACTATGTGGAATTTTAATCTATAGAGTTGTAGATTTAAAAATTTTTTTAAAGAGTTACAAGGCTGGGCACCATGGCTCATGCCTGTAATCTAATACATTGGGAGGCTGAAAGTCAATCACAATTCATTTTGCAAAATTACCAGCATGACCTTGCTTGAGGCCAGGAGTTCAAGACCAGCCGGGGTAACATTGTGTGATCTCCAAGTCTACAAAAAATAAAAATAAAAAATTTAGCCAGGCACGGTGGCCTCTGCCTGTGGTCCTAGTTACTCGGGAGGCTGAGGCAGGAGGGTTGCTTGAGCCCAGGAGTTTGAGGTTGCACTAAGCTATGATTGTGCCACTGCACACTCCAGCCTGGATAACAGAGTGAGAGCCTATCCTCTCTTTCTGAAAAACAAAACAAAACAAAAAAAACAAAAAAAAACAGAAACATCAGCAAACTTGACAAATCATTTTGGTTCAACTCTAGCACTGCCTTAGACTATAATTAACTAATTAACCAGGCGTACAATAAAATGTTTATTTTTTTGGTGATTTTATTTAAATAATTAGAAGAAATACATCATCTATAATGAAAGTAAATCGGGCAATTTACTTACAATCTTGTAACTGAAAATACATACAAATTCTGTGCAATCACACCAAGAGGGAAAATTCTGTAGGGGAAAAGGACAGTAATGACTGAGAAACCCTGAAGCCTCCTGTGTAAATATCTTTAAAATAAAATGTTTTCATTCAAAGATTTTTCAAAAAAAAATAGGCCATCTAATTCTGAAGAAATCAGTTTCTAAATTACATTTTTCATTGATTCATCACAATTCATTTTGCAAAATTATCAGCATGGACCACGCCAATGTGGAGTTAAATGGCCTACACTGTATCTTAACAGTATTATAATAGTCAATCGTTTCATGAAATTGATATAAATGTTATGTCCAGATCAAAGAAATTACTTTGTAACTGACCAAACTAGTGTGATTGTCCGCTTTAACCCCTAATTTCTTCTGGGGCTGCAGGAACAACAAAAACAAAAATCTATTTGTATTGACTGCTGAAGACAACACAATTTACAAAGCACTGTTGTCCTGATTTGGGTTTCTAATAAATTACCTAGTGACTCTCTCAGCACTCTTACTTGAAAATAAGACTGCAATGAGACTGCTTAAAAGAACAAACAAAAGCACAACTACATATCTGTCTCCAGGCGTTGAGTAGGTGATTAGTCATAGAGATTGTGGAACCAAAACCTATAGTTTTCCTCTACTTTTGAAAGAAAAGATACTGTGCATCAACACAGTTCATTCTTCTAGACTTTCCTTTTAATTCCAGTTTTCACTGAGTCAGCTCCATTTGGTGTGGTGGGTCCAGGGCCCTTTGTTGCCATAATGAGTTAACTGATAGGAGAGAATGGGGCTTCTGGACACCCCCATCGGCGGGCCGTGTCCCATAGGAGGGCATATGAAAGCTTCGCTCCATTACCTGAGGACAGGAGCCCTTATCACTGGATACTGGAATCCAGCAGCCTTGCTCTGGGCCCACTCCACATAACTGGGGCTTCTGCCTCCATGAAGTTGGTTGCACTGACCCTATACAAAGACAAAAGAAATTTCAATATTCATATCATTCACAATAGATAGGCAAGAGAAACCCTAAATGGTAGTGGCTGAAGAACTGGCCTGAAAATGAGACACAAAGATAACCCATTTTCAAACTATTCTAGCCACATTTTTTTTTTTCTTCTTCTTCTTCTTCTTTTTTTTTTTTTTTTTTGGATAAGCATCTCACTCTGTCATCCAGGCGGGAGTGCAGTGGCACAATCACAGCTCACCACAGCCTCTTTCTCCTAGGCTCAGGTGATCCTTCCACCTCAGCCTCCTGAGTAGCTAGGACTACCTGGCTAATTTTTGTATTTTTTGTAGAGACGGGGTTGCCATGTTGGCCAGGCTGGTTTTGAACTCCTGGGCTCAAGCGATTCGCCCACCTCAGCCTCACAAAGTGCTAGAATTACAGGTATGAGCCACCACACCCCACCCTGGGCCCAATTTTTAAAAAATTAAAATAGACCAGTGCAGGGGCTCATGTCTGTCACTCCAGCACTTTGGGAGGCTGAGGTGGGAGGATGGCTTGCACCCAAGGGTTCAAGACCAGCCTGGGTAACATAGGGAGTCTCCATTGCTACATAAAAAACTAGCTGGGCATGGTAGTGCATGCCTGTGGTCCCAGCTACTTAGGAGGCTGAGGTGGGAGGATTGCTTGAGCCTGGGGAGGCCAAGACAGCAATGAGCCATGACCAAGCCACTGCACTTTAGACTGGGTGACAGAGTAAGACCTTGACTTAAAATAATTTTTAAAAAATTAAAATAGTCTTGGTTGACATCTTAAAATTTTTTTAAAAAATTAAAATAGTCTAGGTTGGTTGAGAGGATTTAAAGAACTGTACTACCTGTACTACCTGTTCTTTAGCTTTTACTGTGTACTTCTGTCTCCCCATCTGGACCACAGATGACTTGAGAGTAGATAGAGCTCAGGTTTTTTGTTTTTTGTTTTTGAGATGGAGTCTCACTCTATCTTTGTTTTGAGATGAAGTCTCACTGGAGTGCAGTGTTGAAATCTCAGCTCACTGCAACCTCCAGCTCCCAGGCTCAAGTGATCCTCCTACCTCAGCCTCCCGAGTAGCTGGGACTATAGGTGTGCACCACCATGCCAGATTAATTTTTGTACTTTTTGGTAGAGATGGCATTCCACCATGTTGGCCAGGCTGGTCTCAAACTCCTGACCTTAAGTGATCTGCCTACCTTGGCCTCCCAAAGTGCCCGGATTACAGGTGTGAGCCACTGTGCCTGGTCTGAGCTCAGATTTTAGATGTATTTCGTTTCCTTTCCCCTGGCATAGTCAGCTGCCCCTAGCATGTACTCTGCACTTAACCTGTGTCAACTGATGTCAGCTGAGCTCAGTGAAGATGGTTTTATGGAACTACACTAGTATTGTGTTGTAATGAGTTTTCCAGGAGCCCAGAACAGATTGGCTCAGAGCCAAACTTGATCTTTTATTTCATTCCTCACTTGATCTCCCCCCACCCCAATCTCTATGCGCACTTTCACCCCAGGCATTTATGAGACAGCTGGACATGATCAGGGATGTGATCACTCATGCTGGGAGACAGTTATATGAGTGGCCCACAGAGAATGGGTCAAATTATTTGCAGTACAGTGCAGGGGAAAAAAAGCAACAACAGCAAAAGAGACATTCTAATATATTTCAGAGTACTCAGCTAACTGTAATGAATCCTTAGTTCTTTTCTAAGTTTAACCAAATTCTTGTCAAAGCATTGTGCTATTAGCTTGCAAAATTATATTATATATGCCTCTATCATGGATTACCATTATAAGAAAGAATTATGCACTTTTAGCTGCTCAAGGAAAAGTAGTAACTACAAGATATTCCATTACTTTTCAATAGTGCTACCAATAACAATAAGCACTGAAGCAAATTTTTGAAAATGCTGAATTTTTTCATTATCGGGGAAAGTAATGATCCATATAAAAAAACTATGTTATCCATTGTAGTTTTCATATTCAATTCTTAAGTGTACCTTAATATCCAGGCCTTCTTCAAATTAGGTAATAAAGTTGTACTGAATTCAGTATTGGGGGTTTCATGGCAACATAGGTATGAGAAGGGAATTTAGAGTGAGTTTTCCAAAACGAGAAGCCTATGTTCTTTCCAGAAAGAAATCTCAGAAGGAGGTTATGATAATAAGCACATTGAAGAAGGAAAAATACAGAAAATATAACTGGAGTTGATATTTCATTAGCTCTTTTCATTAGCAGAGGAACAGTTTTTGTTGGCTAAAAGTTTCTCTAAAGCTTTCCAAAGGCTCATGGCACAAAGGCATGGTCAACAATGCCTTTGGCCTGTGAAACAATGTCCTCTCCTATGAAACAAAACTCAATCTGAGACCCAACCCCAAAAGGTTGATGATAATACAACTCTTGGAAAAAGTGTTATGTCAAAGGGTATGTGAGTTCATTTCTATCTGAAGTAGACTGAGTTCCTAAGAACCTGGGTTGATTTTATGGTCTCTCCACAAGTGGCTTGGCTGGACTTCATACACAGCCAGGTGTCTGGCTAAGGTCACGCCCCTGATAAGATCTGAATACTCTGAAATCCCCAGGACAATCCTCAGATCACCTTAAATTTACAGAAACCCTTCCCGCTAGATGAGTTGAACATGGAACACGTTTTCTTGGAACCATTTACAACTTAACTGGGACTATACTTACAGCTACCAGTATAGATCCTGGACCCTAAGAATGACCTCAAAACTCAATTCAAATCAAGGAGTCATCCATCGTGTTCTTGCTCAAAGTGCAAGAACACGGGCTGCCTTGTGACTAGAGTTTTGAGTGAACATGGTAACCTCATATAAGGTAGAACTCCAGTGCAAATCAGGTCCATAGCATTTCAATACAGCCCAGCTACTCACATAGCATATACAGTTTAGTTATTTTGTTTGTGTGTGTGTGGTTAAATGAGACTTTTCACTGAAAAACAGTCAGGATCTAAGTAAAAATAACCATTCATCAGGAGCCAGGGATAAAAACTGACCAACATCTGCTGCCTGGCCATCCTCACCAGCCACTGGTTGACTCCCATTCCTGAGGTCTTGGTGTTCCTTTGTAACCACAAACTGCAGATAACAAAAAGGAGGGAGAGAGGATATTGTTATAGTTCACAAATTATCTCAACATACATTGAATCAAAGTCCATGGCTTTACGACGTTCATCCCATGGAAAGTGAAGGTCAGAAGAAAGACCCTGTGAAGTTTGTCTTTCTAGCTAAAGAGAGATTCGACATTCAGTGAAGAGCCTTGTGTTACTTTCTCTTAAAGCAACTAGGCACTACCAATATGTTAACTGAAGAATCTATTCTAATTATGGAATCTCAGCTTTTAGGTGACGGATTCCTGGAGGCCACTGATTTACCATAAGCAATCCAAGAATTCATAAGTATTCTAAGAACTGCCCACAGGCCAGGGAAATAATATCTCATATATGTATGCACTACAACTTTTCATACACACAAACACACAAACACATTAATAACACTCATTTAAACATGTACCAAGTTCTGAGTAACTTGGGGCCCTTAAAGGTACTAATCTTGTGCAATGACAATTTTGCAAGCTGGTTGAACAGCCTAGGGACCTGGAATTTTAATAGGGAGGAACAGACAACAACAACATTTCTCTTCAGTCAGCAAAATGATTACTTTTGTCATTACTTGTGTTATCAGAAATTGATTGGGCACTTGCAATGCAGGCTGACCAGAGTTCACTGGCTCTCATTCACTTTAGATAGATTAGATATTAAAACAGATCCACGCTACAGGAAAGAAAAGAAGTGACCCCATACAACAGGACAAAGGACATCATTTGGTGAATCCTTCCTTGTCAATCAGTAACCAGGGCAAGGACTGCACCAAGGTTTTGGCTGATCAGGCTCCATTGGTTCAGAAATGGACACTCCACAAAAAGGAGCACACAATTCAGAAACAACAGAAAGAGGAGTAGAGAAGAATCTCTTTGCCCACATTTTCCTTTGAGAAAGGTATAGAAAGGGATGATGAGTGGAGTCAATCAGGGAGAAGACAGGGAAATGTTGGTAAGGGAAGGGTGAATCCAGAGAACATGTATTTTCATTTTCTTACTTTTTATAATACAAATCATGCTTCATCTCCTCCTCATTAATGATCTCCCGCAGCAACACATTGCAAAATAAACACAGGACCCACTGTTTAAAGACACATGCCCATTATTTCTGTCTCAAGTCAAAACCCAACCCTCTGCACTGCAAATTTTCTAACCTCATGCCTCTCTAACAGAAAAACATAGGTCCCGGAATTCTGGGCTGAGGTGGGTAAAGCAGCTAATGGAACTAGATTTGTTTCTGCTGCTGCTTCTCCTAGTTTGAGTGTTCAGCTCCCTCCTATTCCCTACAGCAGCAGTTGCTGTCAGGGACAGTTACGATGGCTGTGGGGGACTTAGCTCGGCAGCCCCAGGCCTCCTAGCATAGCTCTGAGCCAACAAGCTGCTCATGACAGCAGCAAATGCTTTTGATTTTTTAATAGACATATACAGATTGTGTTTCTCCTTCATTTCCATGATGATGAATTAATGAGATGAATTAAACTTGCTACTCAAAACCTGAATGAAATACCATGTAGACTGACAAGTGAAATCTGGGTAATTTAGAAGTTCACAAAGTCATGAGCCCTCAAAGAAGCAAGTATATTCTAGAGCTAAGTCGTAGAATCACATACTTCTGGAACTGATAAAGACTGAAGGGATCTTAGAGATCATCTAATCTAAACCCTTTGTACTGAGTGGGGAGCAGAGGTCTGCATAGGTTAAAGGACTTGCTGAAGATTAGATAGCCAATTGGTCGGAAAATAAGGCTAGAATTCACATTCCTTCTCATTTTTTAGAGATAAAGTCTCACTCTGTCACTCAGGCTGGAGTGCAGTGGTGCTATCACAGCTCACTGCAACCCTGAACTCTTGGGTTCAAGTGATCCCCCTGCTTCAGCCTCTAGACTAGCTGGAACTGCAAGTGTGTACCACCACACCCAGCAAAGCTTTTTGTAAATCTTTTTAAAGAAATATGATCTTGCTATGTTGTCCAGGCTGGTCCCAAGCTCCTGGCCTCAAACAATCCTCCTGCCTTGGCCTCCCAAAGCATGGGGATTACAGGCATGAACAACCTTGCCCAGCCTCTATTTTTTCCCCCCATACTTGAGTCCAACCAAAAAAACAAGGAAACACTGGATGCCTATTACAGGAAAAGATGATCAATTGGTAGTCAAAAGCACAGTCACAGGAAAGCTACTTTCTGGGAATTCACGGTGAGTTGGGAACTGGGGAGTAGGGGAAATCATGTGGGACGGACCCCAAACATTGCTCCTCCATAACCTCTCTCTAATAGCTCTTCCCTAAGGATTCAACCCTCCATGGACCTGCCATACATTCCAGTCTCTTCCACAATACATACCACAAATAATGCCAACAGCACGCACTGAATCAGTCGTCAACTCTGACAGATTTCTAGAAATGGAAATTCCCTTAACTGATTCAAGAATGTGTAACCTGTTTCAAGACTGCCCTCTAGTGTTCCAAGATCTGTTACCGAAGTGGGTGATTTATGAAGCATCTTGAACTTCCCAAATCTCTGTGCTTTTTGGAAAACATTTGGATTGTCAGATAAAATACAGAACCCAGTTAAATTTAACTTTGAATTTAAATTTGAACTTTCAGTATAAGTATAATTTAACTAGGTATTCTATATTTTTATCTGTTAAATCTGGCAGCTATTCTGCTACTGAAATTTAGGGAGTTGAAATGTGTATGAGAAAAGAAATATTAAGAAAATGAGAGCTGAGTGCAGGGCTCATGCCTGCAATTCCAGCACTTTGGGAGGCCCGGGCAGGTGGATTGCTTGAACCCAAGAGTTTGAGGTCAGTCTGGGCAACATGGTGAAACTCTGTCTCTACAAAAAATAGAAAAATTAGCTGGGCGTAGCAGTGTGTGCAAGTAGTCCCAGCTATTTGGGAGGCTGAGCTGGGACGATCATTTGAGCCCAGGAGGTCAAGGCTGCAGTGAGCAGTGGTTGGACCACTGTACTCTGACCTGGGCAACAAAGCAAGATCCTGAAAAGAAAGAAAGAAAGGAGAGAGAGAGAGAGAGAGAGAGAGAGAGAGAGAGAGAGAGAGAGAAAGAAAGAAAAGAGAAGAAAGGAAGAAAGGAAGGAAATTAGCATAATCTTGGGTTTTTAAGACATCTATCTGGAATGTGTCAACTAAAAATATGGAAAGTCTTCACATAACACATACAAATCTAAGTTATAGAAAGAATCTACATGAAAGAAAAAAATTCCAAAAAGTTATTGTGCCATTAAATTATGGCCTTATTATAACTCATCTGATTCCTTTAGTTAATGACACAGTTCCCTCACCCTCCCACCCAGGACCTCCCTAGCTGATGTGGTCTTGGCTAACATTGACACCAGCTGGAAGCTATAACCGATTCCAGTCATTCTGAACTCAGTGAAAAAATAGAAAAAATGAACAGGGGTTAGTATCAAGGCAATTCCTTGCTTCATCGGCTTTGGTCACATTACCCAAGGTTGAGGGCAAGAGGACATCCCATCCTCACTGTCAGCAGGCCTACGACTCCTCGCGTCTCTGCTTGACTCCTCAGAAGGATTCTTTGGATTTTTCGTTAGCAGCTTCTGAGTCCTATGATAAAGCCAAAATTTGAGACAATCTCACAACAAAACAAAATACTCAGCCCACTCAGTGATGGTCAGGGACAACTAACTATTTCTGCTACTAAAATTTCCGTACTTGTGTGGGAGAGAAGAAATATGAAGATAACTAGGAACATAATGTTAGATGTTCAAGGCATTCTTTTCTGCAGAACTGAAAATACTATCCAGAGAGTGTTTCACTCTTTCCAAGGTTCTGTGAGGTAGAGGGTGTGTGTGTGCGCGCGCGCACGTGCACGTGCATGTATGCCCATGCACGTTGGGGGAGATAGCCTTGCATTCATTCATTCACAGGTATTGAGTACTAACTATACTACAGGCACTGTCCTAGTACTGATGATATAGCAATGAAAAAACAACTTACTAATTTTGCAGGGAGGAGTGGGGCAATCTGTGGAAAAAATATCTCAGCAACTGTGTGAGGCAGACTATGTTAGCTCCATTTACAAGTGAAGCCACTGGGGCTTGGAAATGGCAGTGACTCAACTAAGGCACACAGCTACCAATGGTGGTGTAAGAAGTGGGTCATAATGACACAAAGTCTAGGCTGCTCTTACTGGTCCACTGCAATCTCTCACTCATAAAGAAATTAGAGGCAAAAACAGAAGGAGTGGATGACCCAATATAAGAAAGTCTCATAGTTGCTAAGCCAGGAAATACACTAGGTATCTTGCTTCCAAATCCAGTTTCTTAGAGTACTGTCTTGTTTGACATTCAGCACTAAGTCTACGCAGGGCACAGTGCCATTCACTAGGGCTGGGGGTGGGGAGATTTAGCATGGAGATGGATCCCCATCCTCAAAGCAGTAGCCTCTAGAGTGGTGCATCTGTGAGACTCCACAACAGCACTACTGTCCTGGGGCAGATAAGCAGCTTAATTGCCTCTAGGAATACAACCCTCCGTCAAAAGCCCTACCTAGACATCCCGGGAAGAGTGATAAGGATAGGAGGGGCTGCTGTGAATCTGGCATCACAGACAGCACCAAGAGATGGTATGGGTTATTATGTGTTTTAATCAAAGACTTCAAGGAAAAAAATGGAAGCAAGTGGCTAATATAAACAATTCCAAAGTTGCAAAGGTACAACGTTGTAATTTGTACCAGTCAGAATGGCTATTAATAAAAAGTCAAAAAAACAAAACAAAACAAAACAAAAAAACAGATGCTGGTGAAATTTTGAAGAAAAGGAAACACTTATACACTGTTGGAGAGAGTGTAAATTAGTTCAACCATTATGGAAAGCGGTATGGTGATTCTTCAAAGAATTAACTGCAGAACTACCATTTGACCCAGCAATTCCATTACTGCGTATATACCCAGAGGAATATAAATCATTCTACCATGAAGGCACATGCATGTCAATGTTCACTGCAGCACTATTGACAATAGCAAAGACATGGAATCAACCTAAATGCCCATCAATGACAGATTGGATAAAGAAAATACGGCACATATACACCATGGAATACTATGCAACCATAAAAAGGAATGAGATTATGTCTTTTGTGGGAACATGGATGGAGCTGGAGGCTATTATCCTTAGCAAATTAACACAGGAACAGAAAACCAAATATCACATGTTTTAACTTATAAGTGGGAGCTAAATGATGGGAACTCAGGAACACAAAGAAGGGAACAACAGACACTGGGGGCTACCTGAGGGTAGAGGGTGGGAGGAGGAACAGGAGCAGAAAACATAACCATTGGGTACTGGGCTTAATAACTGGATGATGAAATAATCTGTACAACAAACCCCAGTGACACAAGTTTACCTGTGTAACAAACCTTCACATATACCCCTGAACCTAAAATAAAAGTTTAAAAAACCTACAAAAAAACAAAGTTATAGTTTGTGATGAAATACTTCCTGTTGGTTTTCTTACAAGGGAGTCCTTCCAAGAAATCACACGTTGCAAACTAATAACATTAGAATACTTGAAAAATTTATTTAGTTTCACAAACATTAGACTTTTTCGTTTTGTTTTGTTTTTGAGACAGAGTCTCCCCCTGTCACCCAGGCTGGAGTGCAGTGGTGCAATCACAGCTCACTGTAATCACTGCCTCCCTGGCTCAAGCGATCTTCCCACCTTAGCCTCTCGAGTAGATGGTACTACAGCTGTGCTCAGAAAGAATTGTACAACTCGGGATGCATTTCAGTGAAAAGAAAAAGAAAGGGTTCTGACGAGCTTTCTTTTTGAAGGAATAGTCCTTTCACTTCTGATTTTAGGTGAATGAGAGTCTGAGGTTGAAGATACTCTTATAGGTATGTAAAGTCTATAGTCATCTTTCGTTGAACTGGTCTTTGAATTCCAAGTTTAAAAAGGCAGCAATTTGCTGTTAGCTTTCAATCCAGACCTCTGAAAAATGCCTATAGAACATAAGACATACTGTGTCATAACACAACAAATAGGAAAAAATACTTAATAATTATGGCACGCATGAACTTAAGTTTCTAGTTTCCATTTTTTTCCCCTGTCTTTTGGCAACGGTCCAATGGGATGAACATTGATCATTCAATATTCTTTCTACATATATCCAAGATATTGATTACACACCAGGCTAAAAAGTCCAATGTTATCGATGGACTACTGAATTAAAATGTCAAGTTTGTGCCTAAGAATCTTGTCTCTCAAGAGGTGGTAGAAAAGGGCTTAGAGCATATGATTCTTTTGGGGGAAGGTTACAGTTCATAGAAAATAAAAATAATAACAGATAGCATTTATTAATTCCTATATGCCAGACCTACACTAAAGCCTTTACTTAGGTTAACCCAATTAATTTCACAATACCCTTAAGATAAGTACTATTCTTGCTCCTACTTTATAGCAAAGGGAATTAATGAAAACAGAGATTAGGACACATGTCTGGTGTTATTTAGACACTGACTTGGATTTGAACCTGTATAATCTGATTCCAGAGCCTGTGCTCTTAACCACTACACTAGGCTATAACAGGATCTCTGATAAGTACATCTTGGCTGATATGTTGAATTTTCCAGAACACAAGACAGTTGCCACTTGAGTGGTTGTGTAGTACCTGTAAATGTGGTTAAATTTTTATCTACAGATGGTGGCAGCAGATATTTTGTACATTCTCAGAGAATTGGGACCTATTAGTCTAGTGGGTCTTAGATCCTCCAGCCACGAAATGATAAGATTGAACTAGATAATTCCATAAAGTCCCCTTCAGCCCTAAAGTTTTGCGACTCACTGATTTTGTACAGCACAAACCATAACAGTACATAAAATGCTTTTCAATATTGATGATAATAGAGGAAGCTGTCCTACTTTCTAAGAAAACAGAAAATGAGCAGTGTGATGCCTATACCTGCATCCTAACGTAGTGTTAGTTTTAAAGATTTGAATGTATAAATGTTATTGTTCTACAGTTTTTAATTGTTAACTTGAAATTATTAAAAGCACAAAATCTGAGGACCAGAAATTTCCTTCCAAGTTAGGGAAGATACCAATTTTCTTTTATAACAGTTCTAATATTTTGTGGGAAATCAACTCAATGGAAGACAGCCACAAAAAATTATAGTTATGCAGGCTATAGGGGGAGCATATAAAATTAAATGAAGAAAGTGGAATGTAAAACCATATTATGATTGATAAATAACACATATACTATGCAGGTGTATGGACAATGACTGCAGTAGAACAAGGAAAAAGTAAAAGCACTGATGTTTCAGAGCAATGAAATCCTGAGCTAACAGTAAAAATTGTCCTGTTATTTCACTTTATTTTTGGACATGGAGTCTCACTGTATCACCCAGGATGGAGTGCAGTGGCACAATCTCGGCTCACTGCAACCCCTGCCTCCCAAGTTCAAGTGATTCTCGTACCTCAGCCTCCCGAGTAGCTGAGATTACCAGCGTGCATAACCACGCCTGTTACTTTTTGCCTTTTTAGTGGAGACAGGGTTTTACCATGTTGACCAGGCTGGTCTCGAAATCCTGACCTCAAGTGATCTGCCCGCCTCGGCCTCCCAACGTGCTGGGATTGCAGGCATGAGTCACTGTGCCCTGCCCACTTCACGTTTTAAATGTACTATGTAGATGTTCATCTCAAGGAGGCAGGCATTCCCCTGGGAGGTCTTAGAAAGAGGTTTCCAGTACCAAAGGAAAGACAGGGTCACCTGTAGTAGTGGGCACCCCACAGGCTCAGGAGGAGCAGCACGACAAGCACCACCACACAGACAGCCACCACGGTGACCTTCTGCTGCTGCCCGTGGCCAGCATGACGCAGTTCCCACCACTTCAGATCTCGGTGCTGACATCGCTCCCCGATGTAGCCAACAACACAGCTGTGACAACACACAAACAGAGGTCATCAGAGATGCCTGGCCAAAAACGCTGTTAGTTTTGACACTTGATATTCAGTTGTCTCTCAACCTCTGCATTTCTAGACTCAGCTCTTTGGAAGCATATAGAAAATCCATCAGGGGTCAGTTGAAAGCGCTATGAGTTACAAGTTAATGCAGCATGGACTTCTCCCTTTCGTCTGTTTGCTCTGGGATTTATGGGGGATTATTTGCATACTGCCTCTATAAGGCATTACAGGACATTGATTAAAGATCAGTTTCTGTTAGGCTAAAATCCTGAGGAGCCACCTTTTAAAACCAACACAAAGCAACTCTGCCCTAAGAGCCAAGGGAGTTTTGGAAACAAATGTTTGGCCAGATTGCAATGAGTATAGGTGAAAGGAAAGGAGAATTTGAAGGCAGAGTTCCTCACTTGAAACCAGGCTATAAAAGAAAAATGTGTGTAGCTTCTGAACAGAACATATAACTTAGTCTGCAGAGAAAACTTTTTTCCTTTAAAGAAAAAAAATCACTACTAGTGCAAGGGAAGACCCAGTAACAACATACATACAGGCATTGCCTATTTTCTTCAATGGGGAAAAAGCTGTATGGAGGGAAAAGGACGCTCGCCCACAAACACCCTGCTGTCCCACTAGTGAAACTGTCACTAGAGTGAACTGCTGAACTTTTTTGAAGTAAATGAAGCAATGCTGCCATCTACTGGGAATGTGCATTTCCAGACACGATTAAGATCTCAGGTAAACATCTGTATTCTATTATCATTTGCAAAAGCATCAACTTTGAAAAACATCCTATTAAACACTCTGTAATGCCCACTTATTAAAAATTCCTTCCTTTGGGCCCTGGATCAACTATTTATTCATCCATGTCCCCACTTTATTCCAAAAGGACTTAAAGGAATAAAAATACAGAGAACTGACACCAGTGCCCATAGTGAGAAGAGGCAGCATGGACAAAACACTGGACAGAGCTCCAGAAGATCTGGGCTCTAGGCCTGTCTCTACCTTTAGCTGGTCAGAGGGGCTGGGTAACTCACTCACAGAGGAAGGAAGGAAATGGATTAGTACCTGTTAACCATCTTGTATGTTTGACACCTTGCTAGGCACTTTTACTCATTTTATTTTTGATGGCATATTCCCATATTTTGGATGAGGAAACTGAGGCTCAAGTAGTTTGTACGAGGTCACACAACTATGAGTGACAGATTTGACTCCAATGGTTCTCTGATTTCAAAGCCTATGTTCTTTCTACTTTACCATGCTGCTTCCAAAAAGAGTTTTATGCTCTATTCACCTCTGAAAAGCTATCTTCTAGAACTAACCGTGCAAGAGATACCACGATCTGAGTGCAGAAGCATAAAGGACCATCATTATTCCAGGTTTTCTTGGATGCTGTTTTCATTCTAGCTATCTTTGGTTACGGCCATTTACTATCAATGCCGAGCAGCACCACTTTTAAACTGCTGGATGTTAATGGGCCACACCTCTGATCCTTTCAGAAAGTTTGGGGTCTTGAGGAATATGTCAGTCCCTTGGCCAAGAGTCCTGGAGATCCGAGTCAGCTGCAATAGCAGAGCCTCACTGAGTCTTGTAAGAGCCCAGAATAGTCATTCAGCATTTTCCAAGGTGGGAGGGGGACACAGGATACTAGTTCTTTGGTTATGAATTAGTTCTTCTGTTAAACCAAACAAAAGATTCTCTGGCCAAATAAGTTAGCCTTTCCATAGTCAAATAATTTTGAGACATTCTAGACTCAATACAGATAAACAAGGCTTTTCTTTTTTTTTTTCCTCTCTGTCACCCGGGCTGGAGTGCAGTGGTGCCATCACAATTCATTGCAATGTCAGCCTCCTGGGACCAAGCAATTCTCCCACCTCAGCCTCCCAAGTAGCTGGGAATATAGATGTGTGCCACCATACCCAGCTAACTTTGGGAGGCTGAGGCAGGCAGATCACAAGGTCAGGAGATCAAGACCACCCTGGCTAACATGGTGAAACCCCGTCTCTACTAAAAATACAATAAATGCTGGTGGGTGCCTGTAGTCCCAGCTACTTGGGAGGCTGAGGCAGGAGCATGACGTGAACCCAAGAGGTGGAGCTTGCAGTGAGCCAAGATCGCGCCATTGCACTCCAGCCTGGGAGACAGAGCAAGACTCCTTCACAAAAAAAAAAAAAAAATTGGTAGAGATGGGGTCTCCCCATGTTACCCAGGCTGGTAAACAAGACCGCTGAATCAAGAATTGAGGGCTAGACAGAAGATTAGAAATTATGGTTTAGGAGTCATGCAGCTGGAGGCTACAAGATTCTGAACCTCCCTATACTGCTCCTAAGATCACTGCTTGAAGTATTCTATAGATCCTGCACTGGATGGATCAGCTGACACCACTCAGATCAATGAACTGGCTCATCTGAACTTGTGGCCCCCACCCAGGAACTGATTCAGTGCAAGAAAACAGCTTCGACTCTCTATGATTTCATCCCTGACACATCAGCACTCTCGGCACACTGGCTTCCCCTAACCCACCAAGTTGTCCTGAAAAACTCTGCTCCCCAAATGCTCAGGGAGACAAACTTGAGTAATAATAAAATGATGGTCTCCTGAAAAAAAAAAAAAAATTGAGGGTAGAGTATGTTGCATCTCTCAACGTGATTTGACCATACGGCCTGTTTTTAAGAAGCATTTCACAGCACTCATGTTGGGGGATCTTGGTCCAAAGGAGACCTGCTCAGAAGGGTGGCTGAAAGACAGAATGAATGAGGACCTCCTCTGAGCCCAGGTTTGGAGCCTCCTAAGCATCTCCAAACCAGGAAATCTTTGAGGAATACCTCGGGCATGGAGACTCTCAACTCTCACTTCTGCTGCATCACCCCGGGGGCACCCTGTGGTTTCCTGTGGCTGAGGGGAACGTCCACTGCCTCTAAGAAAGGAAAGAAGAGCTGGCTCTTCCAAAACCTGCTTACAGCATGAAGAATACTCTGTACAGAATGACGCCCGCCTAGGAAGTGTTTCTAATGAAAGTTGGACCGGTAAAGCACTTCCTAGAGACTTGTTATTACGGAATTAATAAAACATAAGGTGAGGTCATCAGGGCAGGAGGAGGCAAGGGTTGAATAGTTAATTAAACCACATTTTAATTAAATATACAATTTAAACAAAGTTATGATCCAGATTACTGTGAACTCTGGTAATATTTTAAATATTGCTTTAGATTCAAGGTCCTTAAATTTGAGTCTTATCTCCAGTTTGTCATTTGTAGCAACTCATGTTTAAAACATTATCAGGGAAATATGATATTTTCATCAGGATTTAATGACAGAAAGAAAAGCAGTATGCTGAAGAGTTCATCAATCATTTAATAAATGGATGCTATCAGATCCAAATGAAAACATTGTTCTAAATGCAATATGTAGTACCCTTTATATTATTATAATGATTTTTATAATCTAAAGTATCATGGAGGAAAACAACCATGACCTAATAAATTTGGACATTTGTTTTTGTAATTTCGTTATTTGGGATGATCAGAAACAATGAACAGGCAAAACCAATTAGATTCTTAACATTAAAACTAGCAATAACTATTTCAAATACCCAATTTATCATAGGTTAGGAAATTACAGCATGTAAATATAAATATGAAAACAGAATTCTATAAGGACTGAGTCATTTTTACTAGTATCCATGAGCAATTTTTCACTATTTTTGTCATGTGGACATGATTTCTAGTGCAAGGCCATATGCTTTGTCACAGAATATAGCTTACTCTTCCATGCATTTAGTCATTCTGTTCATTACTACTGATGAAATAAGAGAAGACTTTAAGGTTATAGTAGCTATTTGTGAGGATCAGACTATTTCATCACCCCTCCCTCAGGCACAGAGAAAAGTATCAATGGATCAGGAGCCTAACCCTGGGAGATCTATTTGTTTTTTTGGTATCTATCAGTTTCCTCCTATTGCCTTGAAAATATGAAATGAATTAAAAGTAAAATTTGAGGCAGAACTGGCTATTGTGGGTTTGGGTTTTGTTAAAGGGTCCATAGGAAAGGTTTTCGGAGTGAGCACAGTAGGAGCACCTCATAATGTTAGGGCTTCCTCAAATCTCCTTTCCAGGTTGACACTTCACCCACTGTGAAACCCTCATGGGAGCAAAAAGGGAGCAAAAAGCAGCAGCTGCGGTATCAGCAATTGTTACTAAACAACAAAATGTAAACGTCAACTGTTAGGAAGTGAAGAAAAAATATACATATATTTAGTTTTGGAGAAAAATATTTTTGGACTCTGGCAAGAAGTCCAGTGTGAATAGGTAAGAAACTTTTATAAATCCAGAAACAGATCACGATGCTCACACATAATGTAAAGCACATTTGATGGAAAAAAAAGTCTCAAGGAATTATCTCACACACTTAAGTTTTTCAACCAGGATGAGACATTTAATCCCTAGACTATACTAGTAGTAACATCAAATTATTTCAGTAAAAGGGGAAATCACCAACTCCTTAGATTCATACTTATCACCAGTAACTGGAAGGGGGCATTATGATACACAAGGAGAATGCAATGAAGTGCACACACATGGTTGATATGTGTATGTTTATATTTTTCCAGAAGAACATCTAATTGCAGAAAAACATCCTAAGTATACATTTTACAAATTAGCTACAAGTTATGGACTGAATAGCATCTCTCTGTGCCATCAGCAAGACAGTTTAACTTACTTGCATGCATACTTGTCCAATGCTTCAATATACATGCACACACCATCATGGAGGCAGTATCCATCGTGGGACAGGGGACATCCAGAGTCACTATTTCTTACGGAATAGTGGTGGCCATCTTCCCTGAGGTGAGGGGGTGGAGTAGAGTCTAAAAGAACCCAAGACATTACTTTTACTTTCTGAAGGGATTAGTGTCATTCGAGTATCAACATCGGGAACTAGTTTCTGTGAATAGTTTGTGACATAAATCTTTTAGTTACAGAAGAACTACTACAAGGGACATTAGTTTCACTTTCCTAGCTGGGCCTTAGTCATTCACTATGAAACCAGCCGTTCCTCCTTTGGGCTCAGTATTATCTGATATGTAAAGCATATTGGAGGCAGGTAAAAGAATGGCCAATCCTAAGTCGCCATGTGAATTCAGAGTCACTGATTTCATACAAACAAATCTGTCACACACAAATGTACACTAACTATGTGAAGTGACAGTTAGCTTCAAGGTCTCTCTGAACAACTGGTAACTCTATGGTTTAAAACCTACCGATCAATGCACAGTACATTACCTCCAATATCATGGAGTCTCAAAAATTTCTTTCTCACAATGCTTTCTTCTAAAAACTGACTTTCAAGAGTCCTCAAGGACAAGACTGTAGCAACTCTGACAGGAAGAAAATGTTCCCCTAACAGAGGGAATGCCAAAGTATAATAGTAAAGTCTCTTTTATGGAATGGTTCACTGCTCCCTAAAAGGTAAACATGTGCAGCTGACTATATAAATATAAGCAATTTTCAATACCTTTAAGAAGAGCAAATTATTTGAGAAAAATAATATGCTAAAAAAAACCAGAGACCAACTAAGCACATAATTTTTCTTCTTAGGATGTTTTCTGCTTATAGGGCTGACAGGCAAAAAGTGGGCAGTGATGGGAAATACACCCATCCTGGTCTCCAGGGTCTAGTGGAAGCCAGCTCCCCTTCTGGGGTGCTGATGGTGAGATGATACTGCTGTTACGGGAAGAAGGTTCAGGAAGCAGGAGTCAACCATTGTGAATATTGAAAAAAGAAAGAGAAGAGAGCTGGAGTTCTAATTCAGAACAAGAAATACTGCCTTTTTAAAGTAATATTTTAAAATCCTTGAAAGTGATTTAAAATGCTGAGTCCAGACATTCTCACCCACCTGCCTAGCCCGGCAAAATTTATCCAGTAGTCCCACAAATCGACATCACAAACAGGGAGATTAGTTGCACAGTTAAAGAGAGACACCCATGTTCCCATCTTTATTGGATTGTGAGTAATAAAAAAGGATTTATTCCAGATGCTATTAAATTAAGAAAACCTGGACCATTTCAAATTCTCAAGCCCAGCATCGTCCTAATCAGGAAGGTCAGCTCTGCAGCCTGACTGAACTGAATGATTTTTAGAATCTCTAATGCAAACACAGATTAGGGTGTAGAATATCCCTGAGCCAAGTCCCTCCCCTTCACTGCAGACCACCCACCAACCTACCAGGGCAAATCAGTCCTGGTTCAGACAGGCGCCCAGCACACGTGCAGGTGTAGCCTCCCTCTGTATTTGTGCAGTTGGCATTCTCTCCACAGCTGTGCACCCCCAGTTGGCACTCATCAATATCTGTCAGAAAAGACAGAGTAGGGGAGAGAAAAATGGGGTACAGAAAAATAAGAGGGTTTTACAGTTGGACAGCCTCTGGAAGACGAGCTTCGTCAGCTTCCGTCATGCTCTATGTTCTCAGAGCCCTATGCATTTTTAGGTTTAAAGGGACTGTCACGAATGTTGGAGAGATGAAGTAGGTCCTACAATGCATGCCCATGCAGGTGTTCTTTTCCTTTTTTGTTTCCGTTTTTTTTTTTTTTTTGAAAGACTCTTGCTTGGTTGCTGAGGATGAGGTACAGTGGTGTGATCATGGCTCATTGTAGCCTTGACCTCCCAGGGTCAAGCAATTCTCCCAGCTCATCCCACCAAGTAGCTTAGACCACAGGCTCGCACCACCATGCTTGGTTAGTTCTTGTTTGTTTGTTTTTTTAATGGTTTTTGTAGAGAACAGTGTCTTGCTATGTTGCCCAGGCATGTCTCAAACTCCTGGCCTCAAGTGATCCTCCTGCCTTGGCCTCCCAGAGTGTTGGGATTACAGGCATCCTGAGAGAGGCTGGAAGCTTTCTTCCTGCTTTGAAGGAAAGGAGATTTCCCAGAGTTGGAGATTAGTAAACGACCTCTAGGCAAACATTTAGAAGTTCAGATCCTAAAGATTCATACTTAACTTTTTTGAATAGATATCCTGTCATTGGCATACATATTATATCAAATATAACAGTTTTGCTTTTTTATGTAAGTATAAACTATATCAGAAAAACCATCCTTTCTTTCCCTACTACCCACCATTTTTTCTTTCTCAGTTACTGCCACCCTAACATTTAGGGCCTCTCTTCCTCTCAATTTTACATTACTGTAAGAACAGCCTTACTCATTCCTGGATCCCATGTTTCCTCCACGCCATGCATAAACACCAGTGCCACATTATTCTTCCTCCAGCACAACGATGATAAACCCGTCATTGCACCACTTTACTCAAATGCTGCCAGTGGCTCTCTGTTGCCTAGAACTTTGCTGTCCAACTTGCTAGCCACTGCCATATGAGAGTATTGAGTACCCGAAATACATGTAGTTCATATTGAGATGTGCTGTGAGTATAAAACATACATTAGAGTTTGAAGATTTAGTACCAAAATAAAAAAGAATATTAAGTAACTCAATAATTTTTATACTGATTATATATTAAAATGTTAATATTTTGGATATATTTGAATACATAAAATTTTATTGCAAAAATTCATTTCACCTGTTTCATTTTACAGCTGTAGTGTGGTTAGTAGAAACTTTGGGACAACACTGACTGACTAACCCTCTGCCAGTTTCACTGGAGAAGTGAAACCTCAGTGACTAACCCTCAGATTTTAGTCTTCCACAGAAGTAACCCAACCCATCTGTTACAGGCTGAAATGTGTCCCTGCCCCTCCAATTCATATGTTGAACCCCAACTCCCAAAGTGACTGTATTTGAAGAAAGTGTCTACCAAGAGGAAAGTAAGGTTACATGGGGTCCTAAGGAAGGGGTCCTAATCCAATAAGATTGGTGTCCTTAAAAGAAGGGGAAGAGAAAACAAAAGAGGAAGAGAAACTAGAGCATTCTCTCCCTCTCTGTCTCTGTCTCCCTCTGTCTCTCTCTCTCTCTCTCTCTCTGCACATCAAAGAGGAAAGGCCATGTGAGAACACAGTGAGCAGGTGGCCATTTGCAAGCCAGGAAGAGATCCTTCATCCAAAACCAAATCAGCCAGCACCTTGATCTGGGACTTCCAACCTCCAGAACCATGACAGGATACATTTCTGTTGCTTAAGCCATCCAATCTAGGATATTTTGTTACAGGATACACTACCTTATCAGCCTTAGTTTCTGTTCTTCCCCTCATATAACCTAAACTTAGTGCTCAACTAGGCTACTCTCTACCCTTAATGGCAGTCATGTGATCTGTCCATGTCTGGACTCTTCCCATCCCTTCACATTTCTGCAAATGAAATTACTTATCCCCCATGCTCCTTCCAAAATGACACTTCCTCCCCGAAATCTTTCCCAATACCTCAAACAGATGTTTCTCCCAGTTCTGAACTTTCATTGTGGTTTTTACTTCGCTTATGATGTGCACTCTTCTTCATCACTGATCACAGCTATATTTCTTTTAGGTTACATGTTCCTTGCAATCGAAGACTACCTTTCTCATCCTGATATTTCTCACGGTTTCTAGTACTGTGGCCTTACCCTTAACAGGGGCCAAATAAATATTTAACACATTGAATTGCTATCCTGGATGGCCCAAACCAACTCTTTTATGAGTTTCTGTTATAATTTCAATAAACTATTACCTTGAGAGAGAGAGCTTTTCCAAAGCAAAGACAAAGATGTATGCTTGACCAATAAACTTAACTACTCTTAATAATAAGAAGGATAACACTTTTTTTTACATAGCACTTTTTATATGCCAGACAAGGTTCAAACTATTATAACTACATATATATATGGGGCGAGAAGAGAGAGTGAGAGCGAGCTGGGGGAGAGAGAACAGAGGAGCAAGCCCACCGCTTCCACAGAGTCTGAGGACTCTTTGCCAACCACGCAGGCAGGGCGAGCACACCCCATTGCGTGCTTGCTACTGGAAGGAGATGAGTTAGTAACAGTGTGAGAAACCAGAGCCTAACGAGTCTAAACATCCAAGAAGAGATACCTTCCTTTCTCTTCAAAGGAAATTAAATATGAAGTCTACTTGTCTAAATTATCTATGGGCCTGCTTAATTAGAGCAGTGACATTTTCCTGACTGACAGCCAAATATGTGCTTAAAAGAGTGTTTACAGATGTCTGTGGATTCCACAAAACTAATCCTATAAAGGTCTGATTTAAATCAACCAGATTCAAAAGATTGATAGTTATTGATATTTCATCTTTAACCTTAACAAGTGGGAGAAAGCAGTATCATCTGAGTTTCTTATCAGTTTCTTATGTTTTCAGAAAGAGGGAAAGAAAATACTGAAAGAGAAGTTTTAAAGCGCTGTAAAACTTCAGATAATCACTTCCCCGTGCTTCAGATGGCTTCAGGCAGGTTTTCACTTGTACGTGATGTGATGCTACTGACACCTGGAAAGGTACGAGACATCCAAGACGCGAACTCCCAATCCAACGTGCCACACCCAGACCTTGCCACAGGATGGGGATTATGAAAGAGGGTTGAATCATTCTTTACTTGTATCTCAATGTCAGTGGCTTGCCTCTCCCACCTATTGAACTTACCAAGAAGTGCAAGAGGCGCCCTTTGACAAGCCACACCTCCTTTTCTTTACACACACAGCAGTGACTTCCAACAAACTGTCATCACCTCTGCAGTTCACCACATTTCTCTTACCAAATTCACTGACAAGTAAATGCTGTCCAGCTCCCCACATGATGGCTCAAGGTGGGAAGTATTGGTAAGACACTGGTGTCACTCAAACCCCAGAAAGAATTACAAAGGCAGAGGAGTAAGCAGCCTCCAAAGGGGCTTGAAGCTGACCGGAGCAGTCATAACACAAGGGCACAAACTTGACTGTTCACCAAGAATGGAAATATGTCAGTTTCAGCAGTCGCACAACTCTTTAAATTTTGACATATGTGTCACCCCAATTATATCCTGTCTTCTCTCTGCTCACTGCACCCACACTGTTTCCTGATTTCTGAGGCCTGCCTCTGCCCTCCTCCCTTGGCACATGCGTCCTCTTACCAAGACAGTGAATCCCATCTCCTCGGTAGCCTTCTGAGCACTGGCAGACATAGCCGCCTTCGGTGTTGATGCACTTGGAGGAGGCAGGGGGGCACACTGGGACACCCATCTCACATTCATCTATATCTGTGGGCAAAATTAGGAACTAGTACAATATTTAGGCAATCCTGATATAAATGGGACTAGTTGGAAAGAATAAGCATAATCGTATATTCAATTCTTATTCAGTTCTTTACAGGTGCTGTTTGCCAACATCATGCACGCCCTGCATCTTGGACATAAAGTTCACAAGTTACTGCTTAATCAGTCTTTACAGAGTTCCCACCTATCCGATTAGGCAAATATGTAAACAAATCACTTTCTGCCAGAGTTTCAGACCGTAAGGACTGAGATCTTTCCAGCAGTCATTAAATTTTAATTTTGAGGCTATTAATATGAAAGAGGAACCTATCCATTAATCTATTCATTTGATTAAAACTTATGACCTAAGCTTCCGGGGCAAAAACAACAGTTGTGCTTTCATTGGAATTGGTGAAGTCATAAACTTGACTTCAACTCAAATTCATGCTTCTGAAGCTAATTATAAATTCTTCCCCTTAATGTCAACTGCATATATTGCATAATTATAAAATTGTACTATAAACTCAATGTCATATGTTTACATTTGTATAAATATGTTTATAGGTCTCATTTTCTAGGCATGTCATCAATTTATTTTTTTTAGCTAACATCAAATAACTTATTCAAACCTGCTGATTACATAAATCCTCCTGGAGCTTTTGAGTCAGAAAGAGCAGAAAGAATGTTTCTGGTTCACTATTGTCCAAATATGTGTATTTGCCCTTTGCTCTTACCAGAACATAGTTTTCCATCCCCAGCAAATCCTTTCAAACACTGACACGTGACATCCTCTCCCTCTGAAACACACCGAGCATACGTGCTGCATCCCACAGGAGCACAGTCATATTGATCTGCAAATAGCAAGAATCCCGTGCAGTTATTTCCAGACAGAGAAGAAAATGGACTTTAATGTTCTGGTTCTGCAGAACAGTCTACCATTTCCTTTCCAAAGTTCTGGGACAGGTTAATCTCCAAATAGAAACACTTAGTTGACCTATAAACTACATCTACTTTAAAAGATCCATAGCTGGCTGGGTGCAGCAGTTCATGCTTGTAATCCCAGCACTTTGGGAGGCCAAGGGTGGATTACTTGAGCCCAGGAGTTTGAGACCAGTCTGGGCAATATGGCGAAACCCTGTCTCTACTAAAAACATGGTGGTGTGTGCCTATAGTCCCAGCTACTTGGGGGCTGAGGTAGGAGGATCAGGAGACTGAGGCTGCAGTGAGCCAAGATGGTGCCACTTCTCTCCAGCCTGGGTGACAAAGTGAGACACTGTCAAAAACAACAACAACGACAACAACAACAATGAGATGCATAGTCCCATAGCCATGTTTCTGTTTATGTGCTCTCAAAGAACTTTAGTCTTAAAGCACTATCTGATGTTCAAGGAACCCTATATGAACTTATTTATAATTTTTAAAAGCATTTGCAATGTAAATTATAAAATTGCTAGAAGCAAATAGACTCAAATTTGAAAGGCCTGTTGCTTATTTAAAAACTTCCCAACCATTTGGACAACAAAAGGAGTCAATCTATTCTTATTCCCCAAAGACACACAGACTAATAATTAGCAAGTAGATCTATGCACCAACATGGCAAAGAAATTCAATCATAAAAAGATTTACTGCCAATTTACTAATATCATATATAAGAGAATATGTATGTCACAATGTGTGTTTATTATCAAGATTTATGTAGTGACTTGCACACCTCAAGGCACTTTTACAAAGTCATGAACCATACAAGTTAAGTGCAGTAAATGGATCATTTCATTTCATACTCCATTGAAATACAAGTGCCCCAGGGGACAGAGTTACCTGTTGAGCCATGAACATGAGCAAGTTTTTTTTTCTTTGCTTTACTTATGTATGTAATCATTCTCCAAATGCCACCCCGCCCTACCTTTTTGGAGTCAGGGGAATCTGACATGCCACAGTAGGATATAAATTATCATCTGTCTATTCATTGGTAAGCTTGCTCATCTGACTACAGAAGAGATTTCTTTAAAAAAGCCCTCCGAACTTGCTGATAAATTAAAGAAAGTCAAACGATCTAAGTAGGATTCGGGTGGCATGTGAATGCAGGCATTGGGTAATTGCATTTGATTTGCTTAGCTACTTGAGTGAGATTTCTCTTGTGGGAGCAGATGCCTTTCATGCTTGCTTGGTCATCTCCTGTCACTCATGACTCTTAGAGACGGATAAGTTCAGACCAAATCAATTGTCCCGTTTAATTCAGCATTTATTTGGAAGACTAGCTCCCAAATCACAAGGCTGCTCAGAGTGTAGAGTGGACAGTATCCAATTACTACCCAAGACGTTTTAAATCACTTGCAGAATTATCTTAAATTAGAATATGATTCAGGATTTATTTGGTAACATGTAAATCCAAGGCAGCTGTGTGTAATGAAAAGCAATAGTTATGCAGTTGTTGGAGGGATGGGCTACAGCCAAAGTTGTTGTTGTTGTTGCTGTTGTTGCCACAAAGGAGCTCTGGAATAAATAAATACCTGTGCTCACATTCCTCCTCTCTAGAACAGCAGTGACAATTTCTGCCAGGTCTATTTTTCATGATGGTTCTAAGGACTAGAATAAAAAGTGACCTTAAAAAAAACTCTTTGATCAAGATATCTGATCAAATATTTGATCAAACACTCTTTGATACATATTTTTTTTTTTTTTTTTTGAGACTGAGTCTCGCTCTGTCGCCCAGGCTGGAGTGCTGTGGCCGGATCTCAGCTCACTGCAAGCTCCGCCTCCCGGGTTCACGCCATTCTCCGGCCTCAGCCTCCTGAGTAGCTGGGACTACAGGCGCCCGCCACCTCGCCCGGCTAGTTTTTTGTATTTTTAGTAGAGACGGGGTTTCACTGTGTTAGCCAGGATGGTCTCGATCTCCTGACCTCGTGATCCGCCCGTCTCGGCCTCCCAAAGTGCTGGGATTACAGGCTTGAGCCACCGCGCCCGGCCTTTTGATACATATTTAAATAAGGATGACAAAGAAAGATATTGTGATAATTTAAGTAAGAATTAACCTTTATCACACTAGAAGAGACTCCAGGTCCTGTTAATAAAACTAATATAATTCGGCCGGGCGCAGTGGCTCACGCCTGTAATCCCAGCACTTTGGGAGGCCGAGGCCGGCGGACCAAGAGGTCAGGAGATCGAGACCATCCGGCAGATCACGAGGTCAGGAGATCGAGAACACCCTGGCTAACATGGTGAAACCCCGTCTCTACTAAAAATAAAAAAAAATTGGCCGGGTGAGGTGGCGGGCGCCTGTAGTCCCAGCTACTCGGGAGGCTGAGGCAGGAGAATGGCGGGGACCCGGGAGGCGGAGCTTGCAGTGAGCCAAGATCGTGCCATTGCACTCCGGCCTGGGCGACAGAGCGAGACTCCTGTCTTAAAAAACAAAACAAACAAACAAACAAAAAACCAAAAAAAAACCCTCTAATATAATTCATTCAAAAGTACCTACTACGTATTGGGCCTTCCTGAGAGCCAAAAATATGGTGGTGAAGAATAGGGCTCTGCTACTGACAAGGGCTCTGCTGTTTGCTGTTTTGTATATTTAGTTATTGAAGTACAAGTGTAATGAGTATGACCAAGGGGCAGAACTGAGGTTCCAAGAGAGCTGCAATAGGCAGCCGTCGCCCAGTCAGGAACTAGGAAAGGCTTTGTGAGCCAGTGGGCGGAAGGACACACAGGACTTTGAAGGGCTAAGAAGCACACCATGGGCTGAGAAAACAACTAGCCCACGTGTCTGTGTCTGTTAGAAACAAGACCAGGGTGAGGGAAGCAGGCCACAGAAAGCCAAGGGTGAAAGGGCTGGTGAGCCCTTGTTGAGTCTGGGGAGGTGTCTAAAGGTTGTTTCATACAGGGCCCAACAAGCCACGTGAAGAATTTTAGATTATACTCTAAAATTCTAATGTGGAGTTTTCACATTGTCTTTTAGCCATAGATACTTTGTTGATGTGAAATCTCACTCTGAAACAGAAATTAGACCCCCGAGCCTGACTTAGGTGTAAGTAAGGCTTCACAAGCTAGTACAACACAGAACACAATCCAGGTACGGAAAGATGAGGGGTTTTTCACCAGGACAATCAGTCCCCTCTATTCTGCACTAGGCTCCAGGTATTAAGCCAAATTCACAAATCCTTGATCACTTAATCACTCCCCCATTCCCACCTATCTGTCATTTAGTCTTTCAGTCCCTCAACCATGAGTCTTTCAAAATACGCTCTATGAACCTTTAGGGATTCCTGGTGACTTTGCAAAGGTTCTCTATATCCCTAACATTGGTGTAAAGTATTTTATTCTATCATGCTGGTTGTCTCCACAACGAACTGTGGCCTTGAGGATAGGATGATATTTAGCTCATCTTGGTATCCCCAGCACTTAGCACAGTGTACGCCAAATAAGTTGTTGAACACACAATATTCCTAATGTTAACAAAGTTTTCCAGAGCATCTTATTTTCACATGAATTAATTATTTGGTCATAATTTTCAAAAACCTTTGGTCAAGTCACTAACTTAATAGATCTTAGTCTCTCAGCTTTCACATCTGTGAGCTGATTTGTAATGAGGAAATTAGAGATTACAGTTGACCCTTGAACAATACGGGTTCGAACTGCACAGGTCCACTTATACCTGGATGTTTTTCAACTGAACACAGATCAGTATTATTGGTGAGATGTGAAACCTGCCTACACGGATGCCTGATGTTTTGAATACCTGGGTTCCATGGGTGACTGTGACTTGCATATGTGCAGATTTTGATATACTCGGGGATCCTGGACTCAATCCCCTATGGATACAGAGGGATGATGAAATATATAATCTAACATTCTCTGCAAATGTTAGTTATTGTTATTATTAAAATTATGAACCTCCTTATTTATATCTTATAAAAAAAATCACACTGATAAGGTGAGGTAAGAAGTACCCAGAGCCATGTACATCAACAAAGTAGTTTGCAGACCACGAAAGTTGGGTAAAGCATCTCCTTAAATGTCCTAATGTGGAGTTTTGAAACCCTTTTTTTTTTTTTTTTTTTTTTTGCCACATAGGTCTTGTTAAAATAAAGTGTTACTTAGTAACACAAACAAATAAAATATTTCAAAGTCAAATTGCACTGCTTGAAGGGCAGTGACCTAAAGTGAAAGGATGGGGTTTGCAGAAGCTCTATGGTTGAGCTGAACCCAGCTGGAAAACCACTGACCTCCTGAGTGAATATGGAACAAGAAAGACTTAGGTTCCCTAAAGTTGTTACATACTGAACACATGATTTGGCATTTTAGTGACAAATGTGCAACACAGAAGAAAAGGATTCCAGCACTTGCTGTTTGTGGACTTTCTGCAGCAATTGAAGTGCTCAACCTATATTGGCTTATCAATTACTATCAACTTTTCAAGCTAATGGGAAAACAGCAAGGTGGACCCAATACCAAAAATATCAGGGGTGGATGGAAATACATTCAAATATGTTGTCCCATGTTTTACTTTTATTTCCAAGTTACTTTGTTTCTTCACAGAACAAAGACTCTCATCCAAAGACTCTCAAGGTGTCCTGTTTATGTCCACACTAATATGCAGCCATCTTTCTCAGGCACATCATTCAGAAGACACAGACTTAGGGAGTCCGAGGTTTGCTTCATTAGCCTTGTGTAGAACTTAGCCAATATTAAGTTAGAAAGGTAATTCAAAATTTCTCATTGGTAGGATGAAAACTGTTGGAACCAAAGCTATATTGGAGAACTGGTTATTCATACCTGACACCGTGATTTCAGCCACTAGCATGTGTTGAGATTCTGTAATGTTATCTTCTGACACTCTAGTCTTCGATAAGGTGTCCAATGGTGTTACCTGGTTCTTTAGATCAACTTCACCACCTATTGAAGGTCAATGGATGCAATTAAATTTAGCTTTTCTGTTTCAAAAAAAAGTTTGATTTCATTTATGTTCATGACTATTCATTGGTTGTGAATTCAGACTCATTCTTACAGTAAGAGGATTCAGAAACACTATCAGGGTCTTGGTAACTTAATAAACCTCACCCTGCTATCCCACACCCTCTCATTTTCACTGAGCACTTAATGATTTAGGGGATAAGGAACCAGTAGGGAAGAAAGATAGGACTGTTTCAGGTACTGGCAAAAAACAAGAGTAAAATACCAAAATCCTTAGACCCTTAATCAGCTCATAATCACAGCCCACTGTTATTAAGGACAAAATAGATGATCTCCCCAACTTGTCTTCCATACACATTCTTTCTCCTTTATGCTGCTTTCATGCTTATTTTAGCCTGATTTTACCTACATCTTATAATATGAAAGGACATAAAAACGTCATGATTTAATACAGGCATAAGATTCATGCACTTCCCACTCTCAGAATGGAAGAAATGGATTCTGCAAGACAGCAGTTTTCTAAACTGTGATCCACAGAACCCTGGGATCATCCTTCAGAGCATCCCTAAAGTCATAATTCTTTTCATAATAATACTATAAAGTTACTTGCCTTTTCCCACCATGTTCACATTTGTACTGATATGGCAAAAGGAATGTGGGTAACAGCTGGTGTCTTAGTATAAAAAAAGGAAATGACAGCAAAATCTACCAGTAGCTGAGCTCTTCACTGCCACACACTCATATTTTAAAAAAAAGAAAGAAAGCAAGAAAGAAAGGAAAAGAAAAAGAAAAGAAAAAATGCTGGGCACAGTAGCTCATGCCTGTAATCCCAGCACTTTGGGAGGCCAAGGCGGGTGGATCACATGAGGCCAAGAGTTTGAGACCAGCCTGACCAACATGGTGAAACCCTGTCTCTACTAAAAATACAAAAATTAGCTGGGCATGATGGCACATGCCTGTAATCCCTGCTACTCAGGAGGCTGAGGCAGGAGAATCTCTTGAACCCTAGAGGCAGAGGTTGCAGTGAGCTGAGATCATGCCATTGCACTCCAGCCTGGGTGACAGAGCAAGACCTTGTCTCAAAAAATAAAAATAAAAAAGAATTGGCTGGGCAGGGTAGCTTACACCTGTAATCCCAGCACTTTGGGAGGCCGAGGTGGGAAGACCACTTGAGGCCAGAAGTTCAAGACCAGCCTAGGCAACAGAGCATGACCTTGTCTCTACAAAATATAAAAATAAATTAATAATTTAAATAAATAATAATTTAATAATTTAAATAAATAATAATTTAATAATTTAAATAAATTAAATAAAAATAAAAACAAATTAGCCAGGCATGGTTGTGCATGCCTATGGTCCCAGCTACTAGGAAGCTAAGGTGGGGTCCCAGCTACTTCAGCCCGGATGAGGCCAAGGCTGCAGTGAGCCATGATCATGCCACTGTACTCCAGCCTGGGCAACAGCGGGAGACCCTGTCTCAAAAAATAAAAATAAAATCCAGTTTCACAAGAAGATTGTTGTGAATCAATAAGAATTATTAATTTTTAAAACACTTGACCATTGACTACACAGCTTTTTAACACTCTATGTAATAAAATAAGAAATACATATAAATTATTTCAATGCATACTAAAGTTATGACGGTTAACTAGAGGAAAAACATAAGTAATTTTTGAACTGTGAGCTGAAACTAGCCTCTTTTTTTCATTGCACGTTATTTTACTTGAAAAAAAGTGGCTTAATAGCACAGGAAAACTGTGCTTTTAAGACTTGGGTATGTAGCAAACTTTCACTTTTCCTTAAAAATGAATGAAATGAGCCTATCACCTCGAGGAACACAGCTGGCAACAATTGTTGCCAATGTCAGATACCAAATTGCAACTAAGCTTTAGGAAGCTACTGTCTGTCCAGTTTAAGCATAGTATCAAAAGAATAATATCCAAAAAAGGCACCTAAAAGGGCTATCATAATAGCCCTCTTCCAACTCTATGTCTGCGTGAGGCCAGACTTTGTTCACAGACTTCAAGCAAGACAACACATGATAACAGATTTAACATAGATGTAGATATGAGAATCCAGCTGTCCTCTACTAAGACAGACATTCAAGATATCAATGTAAAAGAATGTTGCTCTTCTCACTATATATTTTTTGCTTTGAAAAATAAACTTACTTCAGTTATTTTTATAAAATGTATATTAATAGATAATAAATTTATTGTAACATCAATAGATATTTCTCAAATCATGTTGTAAATTTTCATATCATAAATATTGATAGATCTACATAAAAACTCTTTGAGGTTCTCAATAATTTTTAAGAGTGTACAGGGGTCCTGAAACCAAGAGGTTTGAAAACTGTTGATCTAAGGCAACAATTAATAGAAAGTTCTGAAAATCCAAAGTATCCAATTCTGGTCCATGGCTAGATTCGTTTATTTTTCGTCAGTCTGTCACTTTACTTATATTTACACCATGCCTACTGGATTAAATATAAATTTTTAAAAAATTTAATAAAATGTAAATTATCTTTAGTATATTTCTGGTGGAAAGATATCAAGGGGTGAATCCACAGATGCCCAGATTGTTTGGGTGCACATTCAAGGGAGACAAATCAGTACTACTGGTTATACCTCACACTTGGTTTACTCTTCCTCTTCCTCAAAGTCATATCTAGTTTGTAAAAAAGTACATCTTCTCAGGCTGGATTTCCCACATTTGTTTGACACCCTAAAGTTATTTTTTATAAAGGACTTTGATTTTCTTATTAAGACTTGTCATGTGATAAGAGATCATATACTACTACCTCTAAAATTGAGGACATAAAACTTCCAAACAAAATATCTCTGAACATTTTTGTGAGGTGATAATACTTTGACATTTATTTCCAAGCCTGGGACTCACTCCATTATAAATGGGGAGGTGGAGGGCCTGGAGCTTAAGACTTTTACCATTAGAGGTCAATTAAATTTTGCCTATAATAAGGAACTCAAAACTCAGCAGAAGAGAACAAATAAACAAACAAATTCTTAACATTCCTAAAAACAGGAGAGCTTTTAACATCCAAAATATTCAAAAATCAGCAAAAGCATAGGGATTGATGTACAGCTGTATTTCTCAGCCAAGGTTAGGTAATTTGCTACACAGTTTATTATATTACCTGCCAACAGATGATGACCATCCAGAGCCAGACACATTTTCCCATCTGAGGCTTTCATAAAACCTTCACGACACAAACACCAAGCAGTTCCAAGCCTCTCTTTGCAAATATGTTCACAGCCTCCGTTTTGATATAAGCAGGGATCTGCTCCTAGTAGAGAAAAGAGGCAAATTTGCAGGTAGGTTTGAAGATGAAAAGGATGCCATTAATGCAAGTCTACAGCTTGCTTTTAGGGAGCTACAGCTTTTAGGGAGAGAAACGCAGTGTATCTAAACAGAGGGTTTATCAACAGCTATTTCAGAAGAGTTCCCCCAAGGAGCCAAGGATTCTAAGATAAGCCCAGAATGTTATTACCTTATTAGTACTGAGTAGAGCCAGTACTTTTGTTCAAGAAGCTCTTTAGTCAAATGTGATTCTTATTTCCTAACTCATCATCTCGTCAAACTGATGAAGAGCAATTCAGAAAGAAGAGCTACTATAAAATGTGAAATGCTTTTTCCATTTGCTCACTCCTCAGGGGTACGGAAAGGTCCAACTTTTGACAGAAGCTTCCACTCTTGTCTAAATTGCCTGCCTTAACCCAAGGCTCTTTGAAATGTAGCAGGTAAGTAAAAGTTGTTCAAGAAAAGAAATGAAATTGGAGAGATAAAGCCCCAATTACCAAACTACCAGATTGTCTTAAACAAACCTAAATGTTAGAAAATCTTAACACCTACACAGTTAGTGAAAATTACAAAATCCCCTCCACCCCCACCCCAACTGAGTGACATCAAACAATTAAAATAGTTGCGGATTCCAGCCAAGGAAAGACTGTGTAACATCTCCAGTATGTACCTGGTTTTGCCAATGGATGAACCACAACCAGTGAGGAGGGCTTCAGCATGCTGCCTTGGAGACGTACTCTATCTTTGCCAGTCTTCTTGTTTACTCTTATTACTGATGGCATAGCCCAATCTGAGAACCACACATAATCCTCAAACACGGCTACAGCAAATGGGTGACCTGGAAACAATTCAAACGTGTTCAATACACCTTCTTTGTCTTTGCAATGACTATTTACGAAAGGACCAGGCTTGAAATGTACATGACATTCCTACACTAAATCAACTATTTAGCTACTCAGCAAGTTATAATCAAGCCACCGACTTACACACCTGCCTCAAGAAGAGCCCACATGAGGCAGGAACGTCACCTTAGAATGGGAGCATAGTGGCATGAGGTCCCAGCAATGCCCATTATCACCCAACATTTGCAGAGTGGGAGAATGTGGGTTGATTGTCTTCCTAGCACCATGAAGGAGGCAAAGGTGGAATTTTCCCTGTTTAGTACATCTGTCACTATATATAGACTAAACTCGAGTAACGTATCTTATCACTCTTTGCCTTAGGTTCCTACTCTTTTGAACAGCAGTGATACGCCATAGATCAAATTCACAGGTTGTTGTAAGGATTTTTCAAAATTTGAGGTAATTGTATGAGAGTCTCCCCACATTCCCATCTTCACCAACACATTTGCCTGCATTCGTCCCCCACTTTCTTTCTCCTCTCTCCTTATTTAATATTGATGTGTGTCCCTGATGTCACTCTTCCTGCTTTCTCTAGGGCCTGGATCCATCAACAACCACCCCTTTCTCTAACATCTTCCCTCTCTTCATTCCACTAGCTTCGTTCCCTGTCTACTAATATCCTCTCTCCCATCTTCATTTCCTCATCCCTGTGACCCCTCTGGCTGCTCTTTGTCTCTTTCTTTCCCTTTTTAGCCAAGTTTTTGAAAGAGTCATTTATTATCTACTGCCTCCATTTTCATGCCTCCTACTGACAGTAAGTGGGCATCCTTCTGAGCCCACCTCCACCAAACCTACCTCTCTGTGCCACTGGAACTGCTCTGAGAAGGCATGCAAGTATTAAATATGCAAGGGAATGTTTTAACGTACTATCCCAGGTGGTTAGAGACTAAAGATAAGGAGGCTCAAGTTGATGTTTTAATCAAGGCTGCTCACATTCCCACAGGCCACTCTTTTTGTAAACGAGCAATGGATTTGGCAGATGCGAATGAATGTCTTCCCCTACTGGTGGCAAACTCAAATAACTTGTGGTTGCAAAGCGCCTCCACTTATCACTGTTGATCAGGGTCATTAAGATTCATTTTAGTCTCTGGCCCTTTGTCCCAAATTAAAGCCTGAAGTACAGCAAGGGAATGTTTAACATAACTATAGTCTTTTTTATCAAGGTGAAAAAGCATCACAGAAAACTTAACATCTCAACCATTTCTAAGTTCAGAACTGTTAAGTGCGTTCACACATTGCGGTACAGCCAATCTCCAGGATTTTTTCATCTTGCGAAACTGAAACTCTATGTTCATTAAACAACTTCTCATTTCCTCTCCCACATCCCCTGGAAACCACCATTCTCTTTTCTTTTCCTATGAATTTGGCCACTCCAGATACCTCAAATAATTGGAATTGTACAGTACATGTCTTTTTGTGACTAGCTTATTTCACTTGGCGTAATGCCCTCAGGAATTAATCCATGTTAAAGCACATGTTAGAATAGCTACAGTGTTTAAACAAATACCCTACACTAGACATAATCTTTCTTATTTTTTGTTTACAGAAGAGCCACAATTGCATTTTAAATTAAGAATATCTTCAACCTTTTAAAATAAATTTTTAATGTACAGACAACATTATATGATTTTATTGTGTACAACATGATGTTTTAAGATATATATACATTGTGGAACAGCTGAATCTAGCCAATTAACAAATGCATTACCTCAGTTATCGTTTTTGTGGTAAGAGCACATAACATCCACTCTGTTAGAAATCCTGAACTGGCATTTGGGAAGCCACCACATATATACCAGTAGATGGCACCGTAATGATGGGAATGTTACTTACACAATTTAATATAATATTATTTGATAATGGCCTTTAATAGTTGTATTAGTCATGTAATATAGTAGCAATATATTCACAATAAATTCACAAAGTATCTGCTATGCTTTTTTGTTCAAAATATGGTGCCTTCACATTCTGGTTAGGAATTTTCAAATTCCTTTCTAACTTTTTATGTCAAAGGTACAATTTTACATTTATTTAGATTATTTATTTTTTGTTTTTTGTTTTTTGAGACGGTCTCACTGTGTCACCCAGGCTGGAGTGAAGTTGCACAATCACGGCTCACTACAGCCTCAACCTCCCAGGCTCAAGCGATCTTCTCATCTCAGCCTCCTGAGTGGCAGAGGGATTACAGGCGCTCACCACCACGCCCAGCTAATTTTTGTATTTTTAGTGGAGACAGAGTTTCGCCATATTGGCCAGGCTGGACTCGAACTCCTGGGCTCTTGTGATCCTCCCACCTTGGGCTCCCAAACTGCTGGGATTACAGGTGTGAGCCACCATGCCCAGCCTGAATGATTTTTTAAAAAAATAATGTATGTGTTCGCTACTAGATTCCTTGGCTTTACAGATATCATATTTGTTTTACTCTCCACTGTATCTCCAATTCCTATAATGTCTCAATCAATACCCCTGAAGTAAATGGATGATAAAGTCTAACCTTGTATATAAGCATATCACTTATTGTGAAGTATATCTTTAACTTTTAGAGAGTCTTAGAAATACATAAAATTTTAAATTATACTTATCTTGAGCCAAAGAGAACAGGCAAAATAGGTGTCTTATACAGATTATTAGTTTGTTAGTTTCTTCCTAAATGAGAGAAACCATGTTTTTTCATCTTTCCAACCAATTTCTAACCCTCCAAAGCATCTTCAGCACTTCCCTAGCTCTCATTTTCTATATGCAATCTATTACAAAATCCTCTTATTTTATCCACAATAATTTTTAATACCATAATCTTTCATTCCATTTTTAAATGACAGTGTTCAAACTCAGGCCATCACCATTTGTTGCCTGGACAACCACTATAGGCTTCTAACAGATTTCCTTCTCTCCAAATTCCAATCGAACTCCTATACTTTACCTAAGCAGCTATCCAGAGATGCCAATCTTAACATATACATTTTATGTGCAAGAACATTCAACGCCCCTCTACTAAATTCAGAATTTAAGTTTAGTCAACATATCCTGGCAGTACTAACATACAAAGACCAATTTTTGCAGCCTTATAATCTTTTGTCATCATCTATTTACCACAAGGCTCAGTTTAAATACTGTCTTTGTCATTCCCAGGGTCAAAATAAATTTCCCACTGCTTATATAATTTCATAGCCATTTTGTACTTCTTTTAACAGTTGGCATAAGCTACAATGTTTTAAAGATATTTATGAAAACACATGACACCCCATGTAAAATCTGAAAATAATAGGAGAGGAAACTATATTAATCTTTGCACATATTACCAACTGATACTCATTCATACCTAAAAGTGCCTACAATATCACTGTTGTGAAACAACATTTTCTAAAACATAAGAAATGAAAACAGCTGAACCAAGTTCTTATTTCTAAAGGAGTTTAGAAAATTTTAATATTTTCATTCTGATTTGGGGACTTCTTGGAAAGAGAAATGATTATACAACACTATTTTTTACCCAGTATTCCAATGTTAAGGTAAGCCTTGTAGCTCATGATTCCCTGGAGAAGTCTGTCTCTATTCCATATTCACCCATATGGCTAAGTGGTATGTGTGTGTGTGTGTAAACATATTTTGTATTTAACACTCATAAAACACTCAGTCAAGATGGAGAAATCACCCATCCCAAAGCCTCACCTACATCGTTCTGGGTAAGTGTTCGGCGTTTTGAACCATCCAGATTGGCCATTTCAATCACAGACTGCTTGGCATCGCACCAATACAACTTGTCAGTTAAGAAGTCAATCGTTATTCCATTGGGCCAGATTAGATCAGAGCTGGCTATAACCAGTCGGCCAAGGCCTTGGAGGGAAGAACTTTCAATTCGTGGATTAATCCCTGTATCCGTCCAGAATAATCTCCTTTAATCAAGAAAGCACACAACAAATAATATCTGCATGAAAGAAATTATTCTGTTCTTTCATCTTGAAAATATCAATGTAAATTACTTTATGATATATTAAAGTGGTACACTGAGGAATACAGAAGAAGAGATAGCACTGTATGTTGGACAAATAATTTTGAAAAGCAGAACAATTAACTTGCCTATGTAAAGCATCTTCTAAAAGAAATGTTTAATTAAGGCTCAGGTCATTAGATTAAAAGAGAAATTAGTTTAAAAATTGCAATAGTGACTAATCAAATAGTCATGAGTAAATAGGCTTGAGTAAAATATTCTTGAATTAGCATTTGGTACTGCACAAAGGCAATGAAATCTTGCTAGCCTATTCTGTTATGCATATGTAAAACTCACCGCATTCGTAATACTACAACATAAAGGAAAGTTCATATTTATCTGTTATCCAGTTTTATGCAATGTACTCTATTAACTCAGTTAATTTCAACTTCCATAAATCAGGTGCTGGGCACATTTATTTTTGAAGTCAATATGGTTCATATTTTTTTATTGGCCTATTTAGAAATGGTTACATTCTCACAGTTTTAATCATTTGGCTGACTCCAAATCAATTATCAACTACTATAAATATATTATCTCCCATAAATCATTGTGAAATTTCCAGTGCAAATAAAATAGGGTGGGTTTTTATCTTTGTTTTTTAATAACTAGGAATAAATCCTTTATTGTCCTTAAATCTCTAATCTCTAAATGAGAATTTGTCCGTAATTCACAATTAACAGCATAGTTTTCTAACCTTTCACAATTTCAATTTTCTGTCATCTAAAATCTAGGAATGACCTATATCTTATGATTTTTCTAAATAGAATTCATAAGTCATATAATCCAAATATCCTTTTCTGCTCAGTAAACGACAATGCAAATTTTTAAAGAAAATAGATGAATGAGCTTGAGTCTAGTCGGTTAATGAATTACAGTACATTTTTCTTTCAAAAAGAAATTGAATTTATTTAAAAGAGCACATTAACAATAAAATTATTATACAAGAATAGAAAATCAAGACATTAAACGCATGAGGAATTCATCCTGAAGATTTCAACAAATTGCATGGATTTTCTTGGTTTCTGGTTTTGGACACTAGCATGTCAACCATGAACTGTCACATGACTTCTGCAGAGCAGTGCCTTATTTTTACAAATACCTACTTGGCCATTGGATGAACAGCAATTCCTCGTGGTTGAGAGATATTCTCCTTAATGATTATTTTGGGATGTTTTCCATTTAAATCACTCCTTCCAATCAGAGATTTCCTAAAATACGTGCAAAATAAGGGAGTTTGTTATAACAACTTTACTTTTCAAACAAAAATACTCCTTTCTCCTCTTTGTGAAATGCAAAGACAGGCATTCTAAACTAGCTCATATTTCTCTCTGTTTCTCTCTCCCTCTCTCTTTCTCTCTCTCTCTCCCCCACCCACAAACAAAGTAGCAGCAATAGTCCACAAATTTTATATTATTAAACACTCTTAATTAACATCTCAATATTTATCCCAGGTAATGAAAATACCCAATGACAGGACAAGGTAAAAGGGATTGCATCAGTGGCTGGGTGAGGACATTCTCTTTATAACTTCCAATCTCCTGCTGAAACCAATGGAAGCCAGAAGCAAAGAGACTGTTAGCCTCATGGGATCATGAAGAATAGGGAGACAAGCCAGCACAAGGACAGTAGGTGGAGATTTACATTGGCTTTAATTTTCTTCCATTTAATTCAAAGACAAATGGGAGTATAATTGTCCCTCGGCATCTGTGGGGGATTGGTACCAGAACTCTCCAAGGATGCTCAATTCCCTGATATAAAATGGCATAGTATTTGTATATAATCTATGTACATTCTCCTGTATACTTTAAATCATCTCTAGATTACTTATCACACCTAATATAATGTAAATGCTATGTAAATATAGTTATGTTATTGGTTTTTATTTGTATTATTTTTATGATCGTATTCTTATTTTTTATTTAATTTAATTTTTGAATATTTTTGATCCAAGGTTGTTTGAATCCTCAGATGTGGAGCCTGTAGATAAAGACGGCCAATTGTACCAAAATATTACTTGTTAATCTTTACATTAAAAAAATAACCTGACCAGGCGCGGTGGCTCACGCCTGTAATCCCAGCACTTTGGGAGGCCAAGGCGGGTAGATCACGAGGTCAGGAGATCAAGACCACCCTGGCTGACATGGTGAAACCCCGTCTCTACTAAAAAAAAAAAAAATTAACCGGGCATGGTGGCGGCGCCTGTAGTCCGAGCTATTAGGGAGGCTGAGGCAGAAGAATGCGTGAACCCAGGAGGTGGAGCTTGTAGTGAGCTGAGATGGCGCCACTGCACTCCAGCCTGGGCAATAGAGCGAGACTCCGTCTCAAATAAATAAATAAATAAATAAACAACTCAATAGAATCTGGCAGGGTAGAAAATTCTTATTTCCTGATTTTTCTATTTATTTGTCAAACAAATATTTACTGAGCACCTACTGTGTCAGGGATTGGTCTAAGCATTGGAGGTACAATAGTAAATAAAACCCCTGTCTCTGTCCTTATAGAGCTCATAGTTCAACAGGAACAGAGGGAGAGGGAGGCAGAGGTGGGAGGGGAAGAGAAAGGGTTAGGTGGACTGGATGGGAAGGGGAAGAAAATGTGGAGGGCAAGGGAAGGAGGAGAGGGCAGGGGAAGTAAGAGGGGAAAGAGGGAGAGGAGATTATAACACAGCACATGAAAGCACACGCTGAGAAGGATGTAAAGAATGTAATTGGAAGACTCAGGGAGGGTGACAGGGTGGGTAGCCCAGCCAAGCAGGGATCAGAGAAGGATTCCTGGAGATAATAACAAACGAGGATGAGAAGCAGGCAGTCAGGCAAATGTGGGTGGGGACGGAAAGAGTACTCTAAGCAAGGGAATGTACATGTACAAGTTCTAAAGCACAAGACCTAAAGAATGTGGGGCAGTTATACTTGCGCTTTAGAAAGTTTGCTGTGGTTTTAGTGTGAAAGGGCAAGGCAGGCAGGAGATGATGACGAGGAGATAAAACAGTAGCAGGAGAAATGGAGAAAACTGGATGGATTTAAATGCTAAACATGACTCTATAGCATCCCCGCCCCCTTCAGGAACAAACAAGAGACACTGAGCAGCTTCTTGGAGCAGGCGGGACCAGAGGCAGAGGGGACATAAATAGGGCTAAGAAGAGCCTCCCTTTCCCCATGTACTGCCTGCTTTCCCTGTTTCCCTGCTGCAAACCAGAATATATAACCACCTTTAATTCATTCAGTAAACATCTGTTAAAGGCCTCTCACTTTGCTCTTGAGGGCAATGTCTGCATGAAACAAGCCTGCCTAGAAACACAAGGTAGGGCCATTCCCTGCTCCTGGTTTTACAAAATGCTCAGGAGACCTTCTCAGGTGGCTGGTTCACCAACTATTTTCTAGGCACTGTGTAAGGAACAGGACTCTATGCACAGGGCCCTATTCACACGCAGTATGCAGAAGAGAGGTGAAGGTAAACCTGGCTCAGTGCCTATGCTGGGTTGGGAACACTTTGCAAACTACCAACTAAAGGCAGTAGAGAATTTGAAACCATTTCTACTCCATTGCCCCTTTAAAAAGATAATTTTACTCCCGGATGAAGTGGTCATAGGAAGGATACTGCTGGGTGGAAGATATTTTAGAACTTAATGTGTCAAGTTCTGTTCTCAGACACAACTGTCACTGTGCCTCTTCCTTGGTGGGAGGAAAGAAATTCTGAGACCACTTGCTTGTGACCAGGGGAGATGAAACTGTCAGTTCTGATCTCATGATGATCTCTAATCATCTTAGAGATGAGAGATATCATCTCTAAATTCTGTTTCAGGCAGGAGTTAGGTGATGAGACGAGAATGACATAAGCTCCTGACTGTGGAGCTGTCTCAAGGCAGGATTGCTGGAACTTACTTTTATTGCTCCCCCAAGGTGTTCACCTAATAATATACTTCTATTTGATTCAGCTAGAGAGCAAATCTCAAACTCCAGTGTTGGTAATGAGAAACCAAAGACCAGCAGGGATATTTGGGTTCATGGGAGTTCAAGCATCACCTTTAATTGAGTGGTGTGTCCTTCTCTCTCTAACCATTATCTGATCGTCCCAGTGCCACTGAGATCCTCCAAGAGAAAAACTCACCCTCCTTCTAGGGTAAGAGGTGTCCTTCAAGAACCCTAGAAGAGTGATTTTTTACCTCATATTAGTTTTTGTTACCTCAAAAGAATAAGTAAACAGATAGCTTATATTTTTACCCTCTTGATTTTTTACTGGGCAATTGACTTTAGGAATCAGTATTCCTTGAGACTAAATAACAGCATTACCTTTGGAATTTTCAATGTGCTTCCTTCCTACATTTAGATGTTAATTTGAATCTGTCTTTTCCTAGGCCAAAAATGAACTGCAAGCATCCCACTTTGCCTCTTTTGATTGGCTAAGAGTTACCATGTGATCTAATATTATGAGATTGGAATCTCAGTTATTTAAATCCAATTTCTAGGTAATATCAAGGTTTTCAAACCATAAACCTCTCATTTCCAGACAAATTAAAGGTTTTCTTTTAGCAGCTGCCTTTAGAACCAGGAGGACTTAAGAAGGGCTTGTTATTACTGAAGCCAATGAACAGGGGAATTTAGGGTCTGATTCTCCGGGAAACCAGTGGTGCCTGTCTATCTCCTGAACGCATTGCTTCTGCAGTCGGTACCATGGTGCTATTAATCAAACATTGTTAAAATTAGAGGTCCCTTGTGAATGTGGGGAAATATGAGAAGACTTGGCATCCTTAGTGGACCCGAGAGTGGTTGACATCTGTCATCTTGATCATCGTTTACCCTTCTGAGCACAACTATGTACAGCTCTGTTATTATACACAGCTGACATTTAAAATGTTCTTTTAAGTAGGTTCAACACAGAGGAGGTCATTATTATGATTTTTATAATTATTACAACTGAAGTTGATTTTAATTTTTCACATGACTCTGAGTCAACCATATGTTAAATCCACTGGTTTGGGGCGGTGGTACATCTCTATGACTATTAAGAGAACGTGCTTTGCAAATGGCCATCCTTGGGTTCCAATTACAGATCCATATGGTACTTATTGACTGCTTGACCTTGGGAAAGTTATTTTCTCTCTCCAATTATCAATTTTCTTAATCTTTAAATTGGAGATAACAAAACTTACCTTTGGGGATTTAATAGTGTCATGGATATAAAGCACAGTATCGGGTGCATTGCAGTTATTCAGTAAATAAATACCCAAATAATAAAGAAATGAAGGTATGATTAGATGAACAAATGAATGAATGAAAGAAAATATGCTCACCTTGGATGTAAAAGGGTCATGTTATTGATAACTGATAACCACATCATACACCTGGTTGATTTTTTAAAACCTGTTTCCCATGGATTATCCTGATTAAAAGAGACATTCTGGGACATAAAACGCCTACCCCCAAGCATAGAAACCCATTCCCTGGGACTTCTCCCTCTGTGTTGGAACCGCTGATTTCACAGAAGTGAAACCCTCATTCTCCCTTCTTTTATTTTACATGGTTGCATTGGTACCACATGTTCAGGATGGCCACCATTTCACTTTCTGGTTTTCAGTTGCTCTGAGAATATATCCCAGAGCACACTGCATCTCTAATATTATCCTGGGAGGGATCTATGGTTAGCAGCTTCTGTTGTAGTTCTGTAAGGAAGTGGACTCTCATTAGCACACATAAGGGAAAAAGCCACTTCCTTCCTGCTTCCTGCCATTCAGTTCTGAGGTTTATGCAGGCCACATACACACCAAATACAGGAGCCCTTCCTGCAGCTCTGAGAGTGGGGTTTCACAACTGCACTCTGGTTCTGTTTTTTCCCACAGAGGGAAGTATAGAGCATCCCTCTTACCTTATCTCATGCACTTTTCTCACAACTCCAGCTGAAGTTCTCCTCCCTCCTTCATGCTTGTTTAACAGGGAGTCAACATTCTAGTCTAAGATTTGTCACTTGCATGCCGAAGCTCATTCCATGGTGGTTCCCTTTGGGAGTGTACACCTGTCATTTGGTAATTACTTATGTGAGACCCTATGACATTTCTTGAACTGCTATTTGGACCAAAAATTTGTATTAATTATTTTGCTGGGGAAATATACCTTATCTCCCCAGCTAAACTAAGAACTAAATGAAAAGATGGAGCACATCTTAGGCTCCTTTATGTCTCCCATGTCACTGAGGAGAAACCTTATTTCCATAGCAGATGCTCAGAGAATGCTTATTGACTATATTCAGACAGGTTTTGAGTTTCCCTGATAACAACAGCCTGAACACAGCCTACTTTCTTTTTCTTATTGTACTTTAAGTTCTGGGATACATGTGCAGAACGTGCAGGTTTGTTACATAGCTATACATGCGCCATGGTGGTTTGCTGCACCCATCAACCCGTCATCATCATACATTAGGTATTTCTCCTAAAGCTGTATCTCCCCTTGCCACCTACCCTCCAACAGGCCCCAGTGTGTGATGTTTCCCTCCCTGTGTCCATGTGTTCTCATTGTTCAACTCCCACTTATGAGTGAGAACATGCAGTGTTTGGTTTTCTGTACCTAACACAGGCTACTTTCTTGGTCTTCAAAATCCTCCCACGCACAGAGATGCAATCTTGATGAAAGGAGGAAGCGGGGGAGTGTGGACAGCAATGGTGGCCTCTTTTCTCCAATCCCACCCAGATGCCTAGCAACATTTTTCTGTGTTCATAGTGGATGATGAAGCCAATAGTATTGCCTATCCCATCACTCCCATCCCACACAGCTTAAAACTGAAGCAGAAAACATACCCTCTGTCTGTCCAATAGAATCTACGGCCAATCCAGTCCACAGCAAGACCTTCTGGCAAATCTACTCCTTCCTCAATAAGCCTTTCTCGCTGGGAACCATCCATATTAGCTCTCTCTATCCACTTCAGGGCTGTATGGGCAAAGTATATCTACAAAAGAGAACACAGGCATTTCTGATTTTTTTTTTTAAACTAATGTGGAATGTATACAAATGGCACTAGTCTTTAGGTTGTACAGTGTGTTAAGAGTTTGACTTTGGAGATAGGCACACCTGCAACTAAACTCAAACTAGGCTGCTTCCCAGATATGTGTAACCTTAAGCAAGTTATTCAATGTCTCAGAATCTTTGTTTCCTCACTGGTAAAATGAGGATAATAATACCAAGCTCATTTTATATATCTCCTTAGCCATGTATCTGGCACATATTGTTATTGCTATTGGTAATTTAGTAACCCTTGATCACTGGTCAATGACATAGCCATCATGCATGAACTACAGTGGCTTCTGAAAGGGAGCAATGATTTTCAATTAATGAGGGCTACAAGCTGGGCTCAGTCTGTAACACCCCACTTCTCTGCAATCAAGAGACACTTAGTCACTGCAGGTCAAAACTGGTTCCCAGTTTTGTCACTTATTTGCTTGACTGCTTTGGATACATTCTTTAAATTTATTTTACAGATAAATTCTGTAAAAATGAGGAAGTTATACTAGGTATTTGCTAAAGTTCCTTTAGTCTCTAACCTTATATCCAATCAGATGCCACATAATGACATTTTGGTTGACGACAAACTGCATATACGATGGTGATTCCATAAGATGATAATGGAACTGAAAAATTTCTATCACCTAGTGATGTTGTAGCATTCATAATGTCATAGTGAAATTATTTTTTATAAGTTAGTGTAGCCTAAATGCTCAGTGTTTGTCTACAGCAAGGTACAGTAATATCCTAAGTCTCACATTAATTCACCACTCACTCACTGACTCATCCAGTGCAACTTCCAGTTCTGCAGGCTTCATTCATGGTAAGTGCCCTGTTAAGGTGTATCATTTAAAAATATCTCTTATACCATATTTTTTACTGTACCTTTTCTATCTTTAGAGACACAAATTTTTACTATTGGGTTACAATATTGCTTACAGTATTTGGCATAGCAACATCCGCACAGGTTTGTAGCCTAGGAGCAAGAAGCTAGACCATATAGCTTAGGTGGGTGTAGCTTACACCATCTACGTTTGTGTAAGTGCACTCTACGATGTCAGCACAATGACAAAATTGCCTAATGACACACCTGTCCTTAGTGATACATGACTGTAATTTCATTTTAATTCATCCATCTTGTTCAACAGAAGATTTCTTGCCCGTGCAAAGTTCTTTTTCAGTCTAGTATGCACCCTGTCACACAGGTACAAGAATTTCCAAAAGCCTGTTTAAAAATGACCCAAAGCAATATACAGATACAATGCAATTCTTATCAAATTACCAACATCATTCTTCACAGAATTAGAAAAAAAAATCCTAAAATTCACATGGAACCAAAAATAAGCATGAAGAGCACAAACAATCCTAAGTAAAAAGAAATAAAGCTGGAGGCACCATAGTACCTGACTTGACACTATAAGGCTGTAGTAACCCAAACAGCATGGCACTAGTATAAAAACAGACACATAAACCAATAGAATGGAATAGAGAACCCAGATGTAAAGTCATATACCTACAACCAATTGATCTTTGACAAAGTCCACAAAAATATATACTGGGGAAAGGATATCTTATTCAATAAATTGTGCTGGGGAAATTGGAGTGCCACAAACAGAAGAATGAAACTGGACTCTTATCTCTTACTATATAAAAATTTAACTCAAGATGGATTAAAGACTTAGGTGTAAGCCAAAACTATAAAAATCCTAGAAGAAAACCTAAGAGAAACTCTCCTGGACATTTGCCTAGGCAAAGAATTCATGACTAAGCCCTCAAAAGGAAACGCAACAAAAACAAAGATAGACAAATGGGAATTAATTAAACTAAAAAGCTTCTGCACAGCAAAAGAACTAATCAACAGAGTAAACAGATAAAACCTACAGTATGGGAGAAATCAACAGAGTAAACCTACAGTATGGGAGAAAATACTTGCAAACAATGCAGTTCACAAAGGACTAATATCCAGAATCTATAAGGAACTCAAACAACCCATGAAGAAAAAAACAAATAACCCCATTAAAAAGTGTGCAAAGGACATAAACAGACGTTTTTCAAAAGAAGACATACAAGCAGCCTACAAACATATGAAAAAATGCTTAATATCACTAGCCATCAGAGAAATGAAAATCAAAACCACAATGAGAGATCATCTTACACCCATCAGAATAGCTATTAATAAAAAGTTAAAAAACAACAGATGTTGGCATGGATGTGAAGAAAAAAACAACTCTTATACATTGGTGGTGGGAATGTATATTTGCAATTCTCTAGGGAAAAAATATGGAGATTTCTCAAGAGCTAAAAATAGAATGACTTTTTAATCCAGCAATCCCACTACTCTGTATCTACCCAGTGGAAAAGAAAGTATTATATCAAAAAGACACCTGCACTTGTATGTTGATCACAGCACTATTCATAATAGCAAAGTCATGGAATCTAAGTGTCCATCAATGGATGAGTGGATTTTTTAAATGTGTCTCATATATACAACAGAATACTGCTCATAAAAAAGAATGAAATCATTATGAGCAGCAACATGGATGGAACTCAAAGGCATTATACTAAGTGAAATGACTCAAATAGAAAATCAAAAATTGCATGTTCTCACTTATATATGGGGGCTAAACAATGGGTACACATGGACATACAGAGTGGAATAACAGACAGAAACATGACTGGGAAAGGAGTTATCGTGTATTCAATAGAATGTGGCGTGGGGAAAATGTAGGTGCCAACAAAACAGGTAAGAATGAAACTGGACTCTTATCTCTTGATCTAGTATAAAAAGTGTAACGTCAAGATGGATTAGTAAGACTTAAGGTGTAAGGCCAAAACGTATAAAAATCCTAGAAAAGAACCTAATGAGAAACAGGTCTCCTGGACATTGCCTAGGCGAAAGGAATCAGACGTAAGCCCTCAAAAGGAAACGCAAGACAAAAACAAAGAAGACAAATGGGACTTAATTAAACTAAAAAGCTTCTGCACAGCAAAAGAAGCTAAGCAACAGAGTTAAACAGATCAAAACCGTACAGTATGGGAGAAATCAAACAGAGTAAATCCTACAGTATGGGGAAGAATATCTCCCAAACAATGCAGTTCCATCAAGACCTCGAATATCAGAAGTCTATTAAGGAACTCCAAACAACCCATGAAGAGAAAAACACAAATAACCCCATAGAAAGTGTGCAAAGGACAGTAAAACAGACGTTTCAAAGAGACATACAATGCAGCCTACAAACATATGGAAAAAGCTTAATACCACTAGTCCACAGAGGAGAAGAAAATCGCAAACACACAATGGAGGGGGGGTCGGAAGTCTTACACCGCATCAGAATAAGCTATTAATAAAAAGTTAAAAAAAAACAGATGTTGGCATGATGTGAAGGAAAAAACAACTCTATACATTGGTGGTGGGAATGTATATTTGCAAATCTCTAGGGAAAAAATAATTGGAGATTTCTCAAGAGCTAAAA